TTATTTCCCTGGAAACAGCAACAGCTATAAAGAGCACAATACCACTATTTGATAGAGCAAATTCTCATCTACAAAACACTATTTTTCAACTTAAGCATGACCATTATCTGTGCATTTTCACCCGCAATGAACAAGAGCTGGCATACCATCCCCATGAAAACACACACCAGAGGAAGTGGCCCACTGTTACTGCTGCCAATAGTGAAATGCACCACCCACTGCCTCTCTATGCTTACATCCACCGTTTGGTCTCTGGAAGTGTTCAGCAAGCATCAGTGAATGCCAATAGGTGCCATTTTTTTCACATGAAGCAATTCACTGACACAACTTAGCTTTACACGCACTTCCACGTCAGACACCATGTTGTTGGACTGCCCCTCTGTTGCTGTCTGTCACATGGCAACAACATGTAACAGGGATATTGGTGGAAAGGTTGAACCTCTTCTGTCATCCCATCAACATCCGCCTTTGCCATCATGGGCCAACAAAATAAAACAGGAGGCATTACTTTCAGAACATCTTTCATATATCATAAATTTCTGTCTGACTGAGAATATGAATTGTTTGCTAGTCCCAGTTAGAATTAAATGACCTTCACAGTAGTTACTGAGTGGACCGACTGGCTGAGTTAATAGAATAGCTTGAAAAGAGTTCTCTGTAACTCTGGAAGAAACTTATCAGATAGATATAGGAATCAAAACACCAGTCACATCAGTACTTTAGCTAAAGCTGAAGTGAGAAAGTGAGAATATTATATATGGATCCCAATCATTTTAGAAACATACATGATGATTAATGAATGAACTTAATTATCTGTCTTCCTGCAGAGAAGAAAAGTTTTCTGCAGTTGTTCAGAAAAATGTGAAATGTATTTCCTTTAGGATATTCACCCAAAGGAATCAAGCTTATGGACTGTTTCTATTCATGATTTTTTTTTCTCTCGGTTAGCAGGTTATTTCTACATGTTGTCCACCGAGTCCCAGGACTTGAACTGCTTAAAGAAAGTCCGATACATGAAAATGTTAATTATCAGGAGTCTTGATCAAAATGGCCAAAAATGAACAGTTGAAGAAATTAGATATTTTTATTTATGCTTTCTTCTAATTCAAGCTGATGTTGCACTATTACGCCAGCAACAGCTTAGCTGATCTGCCCTGGGATGGAGGTAAGAATGAAATTCTAGTTATCATACCTATATTTATAACTGTGAGTGCTAACCTTTTTCCAGATAAGTAATTGATTGCTACTGTGTCATAAAAAATTGGAAATGCCAGGGAGAGTATATTCAGAAAGGTAGACTAACTGTTAAATGAACAGAGATACGAGAGCTGTCTGTATGAAATGCTTTGTATATATTTTGTTGAGTGACTTTATGAGAAAAAGTAACTCAAACATAACAGCACAAAATTGGAGGAATCTGTAACACAGAAGAGTTTTATATCACTATTTGTAAGGTAGTTCAGGCTTTGTCTTTACTAATTGCTGTTGCTTGTTGTTGTTTTTTGTTTGTTTTACTGTGCCATTGATTTCAGCAGAAAATGACAATCATGAAAAACTGCTAAAGACTATAGACAAGTTTAGACATCAATTTTCTTGTAATATGAAATATATGAAATAGAAAATGCTTTATAAACTTTATAAGTTCCCTTTTTCACTCTGCATCCAGTTTTAAATACATAGTTGTTTTTGGCAGACTCTCAAACCTAAAATTTACCAAGAAAACAAATAAATACAGTTGAAAGGGGAAAGAGATTGTTTCATGACAAGGAAATAAATGAAGTAATCTCTTTATTGATGGATTTTTAGTATAAGGCAAAAAGTATGTTGCTATATGCAGCAAAATATATCATACAGACCCAAGGAAAAGTAAAAAATAATAAACTCTCCAAACTCCTTTACAAAATGCTAAATGTTTGTACAACTTTATTCACATCAGCACATACATGAGGAAAAGTCTTTTCCACTCTCCGCGTTTTGTGATACCAATATTTCCACCGTGGAGGAACTAACAATTACCTTCATCCTTCTCAAAACAAATTTGAAGTTATGAACCATAAACAATTCCTATACAACATGAGGCTGAGTCACAGGCCTTGTGGGAAGAGGCTGAGAGAACTGAGCTTTTCAAGCTAAAGAAGAAGAGGCAACTTTGGGGGCATCTAACAGCAGCCCCTGGTGACAACTACAGGAAAGTGATCAAGATGGCAAAGCAAGGCTCTGCCCAGTGTTTCTGGTGGGAGGATGAGACAGGGCACAGAGTAAAATAAGAGAGGCTAAGGTGATGTATAGAGCAACCTTTTCCCTGTGAGGACAGGAAGGGAGTAGAGCTGGTTGCCCATGGAAGGTGTACAGCCTCCATCACTGGAATTGTTCAGGATCAAGCCGGACAAAGCCCTGAGCAAACTGGTCTGGGAACATTGCTGGTCCTGCTTTGAGCTGGTGCATGATCCTGTGATTCTGTGACTGTATGACTCGATATGATTATAGAAACCTACCTAAAGCTTGCTGAAATTCTGATTGATTGCAGTAGCATTTGGATGAGAACCAAGACATTAGAGCGATAATAATTCTTCGTGAGAAGGGACTTGATTCAGGATGCTGTACCAGAGCTCCAAAAACTTGCTGATGCAAATTTTCCAATTAAGTCAAAAAAAGAATGTTTATTTGGCAAAGTTTACTGAGTGTGTCAAATTGATGTGTGTTATGACTGCACAATTAGAATAATGCACGCACTAACAAATAGAGATGTGCATCTGGCACATCTCTCTGTAGAGAACATGCTATTAAATATTGCTTTCTTTCTGTAACCCATTTTTCCTAGACTATTTCGTAACTTCAACTTCAAGATTCCTTGAAAAAGTGATATCCGATTTTGTGCTAGTCATGCTACAAAAGCACTTCAAATTCATATTTTTACTGTTGAACTTGTGAGAAATATTTAGATTCTAATCTGTAGGTGGAATAAATACACCCTTATTTAAAATATGATGCTGATTCTTAAGGCTGGCTGCAGGCACAGGTGGTTCTACTGATTAGGGAATTACAAGCAAGCTGTATGTTATAGGCAGGGAGAAGAGCAGAGGTGAAGTATTGGGGAGAAGTTTTAAGTAAATGGGAGTTTGTTAGAAGTGAATTTACAGGACTACGAAGAAGGTAATGGGTCTGAGCTTCTATGGCAGGAACTCTGAAAGGGTAAAGTTTATGTGGTGAAAATATCTACAAATGAGGGGAAACTTTCAAAGTGCTAATGGAATGGCTTAGGAAACTGTCTGGGGTAGCATCATGCTGCTAGGAAATAGGATAAAGCTTTCTGCCTCTTTTGGTTTACGTGCTAGATCTTTGCTTCTAGAAACTGCTTCAGTGTTTTGAAGTGGTGCAAATTAGACCTGGCTTAGGTCAGCTTGTTGACTGAAGAGCTACTGTCAGCACTACCTCCATCACATAGTAGAAGTAAAAAATAAAAAAAAAAAAAATTCCTTAAATGCTTTCAGGAAATGGTGAATTTACAAAAAATAAAGACCTCGATACAGATGAACACCACTCAGACATACAAGCTACCTATAAGCTTTTTACTTAAAAGAATCCAATGAACAAAACTTTCAAGGTCTACTAGGTCTCTCTGGCTGCACTGGAGTTGCTGGCCTGGGAGACAGCTGTGGGGGAGGTTTGAGCTACATAGTTCTTTCTCTTTTGAAACCATCTTTTTATGAGAAATTCTTAATTATTTCAGAAACATTCTCACTGTTGCGGTTGCAAGGATGTTGGCAAAGTAACTTTTCTGTGTCAGACTGCTGCACTCAGGTAAGACTAATCTCAGAATATACGAACGTAAGATTATTTTCTAATTTTCTTTTGACTTGGTCTCCTGACCTTTATTTGAGGGACTTCTGTACTTCAGAAGGTGTTGGAGGAGGTTATTATATTTTAGGCTAAGTTTTTTCTGTTTCAGAGCAATTCCTTGTGTAGTGCCTTGTATAGAAATATTCCATTCCACCATTTTCTAGTCAGTGCAGTTTTTTTATAATGGATGTATGTAACCTAGAAGAAAAATTACCAGTGCAATCCAATTTAAAATGTAATTTGTTGCCTCAGATATTATATTGATTTGCAGTTGTAATCAGGATTGTTTTCCAAACAGTTGTATAGCTTTTTAAGATGCCCAGAGAGAACTCATTATTTTAGTTGTTCTTAAGCTGAAATGTATTCCTCTCCCTTCTAGGCATATTAATAAATTATTTGAAGAGGTTAGCCTGAAAACTGAAGTTGTTTGGTACAGAGTAGTACTTCGTATGCCATAAGCACTGTGAGTGCATAGCGAAAGTGTAGCAAGCATCAAGAATACTGAATACCTCAAAGTACTGTGGAATATTTGAAAGTTTTGTTCATTGGATTCTTTTAAGTAAAAAGCTTATAGGAAGCTTGTTATGTCTGAGTGGCATTCAGCTGTATTGAGGTCTTTATTTTTTGTAAATTCACCATTTCCTGAAAGCATTTAAGGAATTTTTATTTTTAATTTTTTGCTTCTACTATGTGATGGAGGTAGTGCTGACAGTAGCTCTTCAGTTGGCAATAATGAAATGATCTTGGGGTGAGATGTGGTGAGTTACATAATTCTCAAATGTGGATTAAGTATTGTTGTTCATAAATGTCTAAGAAGTCCAAGTCTGTAAAGGGAGGACTGGTAAACCAAGTGTCTATGTATATTTCTAGCTATCATTTGTACCTGCATGTAGATGTTTTCTTTCTTGCTGAAGTTGGTAATAAATCTCTTATAGTGACTAAAGGAATTTTCTTGAAGAAACGGGCCTTGTTACAGCAAAAGTAATCAACATCTCCCTTTGTTTCCCATTGCCTCAGCCAAATTAAAAAAAAGAAAAAGCCAGAGGAAATTGTTCTTATTTTTATCTTGTGTTTGTCTACTGGAGTGTGAAGCTTCTCTGCACATCTGAAGTGTGAAGCTCTCTGATACAGCTGAGCTGCATTAGCCAGATAATTTGCACAGAGTAATTCATGTAGCTTATTAGTGGAAACACTTAACACCTGAGATGAATTGGAGGGCTACATAAGAATTTAACTCTGGAGCTTGATTGGAACCAGTTGCAAATGCTCTGGATTCTGGATGTCTTTTGCTTTAGAACACTACAGCTTATCTTTGGAGGAAGGGTACATTGTGAGTGAGACAAGGCCAAAGTCATTTGTGAGCGTTCAAAATGCATCTGTGGAAATTCTCTTGTGTTAGAAAGTGGTGTCTTGCTCATGTATACATCGTAAGATTTTCTTCTGAAGGACTAATGTTCTGCAACTGGCTCCTGTTGTGAATCTGTTGCGTTTTTTCTTAGTCTAAATGCATTTGAGAGACAACCATAGCTCTCTTCTACTTTACCTTCAAGAGTCAGGTACAAAGTAGAAAAACTTAGTGATCTCTGCTTATTAATCTAGAGGAAAGACTGGACTTAACTACTCTTTTTTTATTTTGGCAATGAGAATTTCTACTTCCAAGTAGTCTAAAGCATCAACTAGACTCATGTAATTTTGTAAAAGTGACTGGCTCAGAGTGGAGCTTGTTTTCTGCCTCTGTACATCCCAGGACTTAAGACACCTAACAGGAATGCATTACTTTTGCCTCCACTTAATAACAAGGCTGTCTCCAGATTGTTTTTACTAAGTTCTGTTTTGCTGAAATGAAGGTTTAATGTTGATTTTTTTGAACACTTCAAAGGCAGACTAGTATAAATACTGAACAATAAGCAATATGTGTTCTTGATTAAAGCCTCTATCTAGAGAACAGCAGTCTGTCTGTCCAATAACTGAGTAATTAACATTGGCGCTGGGGAAAAGTTGTTGCAATAAAGCATCTCGTGGTTCAGTTGTTTTCTAGAAAAATGTCTTTTCATTGGCAGTGGATTTCCCACCTAATCGGGGAAAAAGTATGAAAAAAAATGCTAATATATCCTTCTTGTTTTGCTGTCCCAAAACTTGCAAACGTACCTACAGATGTAGGAGGTAGCAATTATAGCACTGAGAGTTGTATTAGATTACTTTAATCACAGCTGTGATTTAAAGTATGTATATTAAAACTATAAAATGAACTTAATTAAAATAATAAATGAACTTTAATCTATGCAAACCAGTTGGATCAATAATATAACTGCTGATTCTTATGTGTATGGATGTGTATGGAAACTGTAGCTGTATTTGAAATAGTGAAATTACAAGCTGGCTAAAATCAATTCCATATTCTACTAGTTTCTGTTACTAAGTATCTTGCTTTGGGATTAATGTCTACATTCTCTAATATTTATATAGGTACCTATATAAATCAGATCTCTTTGCATTTATTGTCTTAGTTTGTGGTTATGGTGGTTTCTTAGATCATCTAAGTTTTATTGGGGCTTTCTGAGGACTGGCACATCTCCACTCTGTCCTCTATTTTATCCTGTTTGCTGAGAGTTTTGCTGCAACTTCCATTCTTTGTTCATTGATAGCTAATATTCAGAATACTCGAGTTCATGTCCTTTAGTATACTGTAGCTAATGGGAATCTGAAAATTGAACAAGCTGACATAGATATTATACACTTAACACTTCCTAGATTATCTTGTTGAGAAAATGCATTAAACAGTACCTTATTTTAAAGAAGATAGCATTCTTATGGCATGGAATATCTCGGGTTATGTTGCTTTGCATGTGTGGAGTTCACCTAAGTGGTGACAAAAATTCTGGGTAGACAAGACTCTCCTCAGGATACGTCCTTATTCCTTTCAACATATTTTCTTTTTTTTTTTTTTTTGATAGTTAGATAAGGAAGAGCAGGAGAAAGTCAGCTTTTCTTGTTGACAAAGAGAATGGCAATTGCTTTATGTTTCTCCAATGAATATCTGACAGTTGTTGAGTCTGCCTTTAAGGGAAAGAAGGGAGTGAGAATAAATATCCCTTGCTCTTTATTTTTCTTTATCTGAGAAGAAAAAAAGTTTAGAGAAACTTATCCTACTTTATAGTGCTAGCAAGTATCCAAATTTTACATAATAAATTGAAAACTAGTTTGAAGAAACTTCAGATTCTTGTTTTTTACTTTGTGAAGCAGAAAGATTTTCCTTCTTAAGCTTCTTGAGTCTGTGGGAGTTCGTACTTGTGTTCAACTTCCATTACTTGACAGCATCATCGCGTCACTAGTATAGACAATAATGATGATTTTCTTGTATAGTTCGTTAGTATTTTTGGTAACCTCTAAAGATGATGATCAGCAAGGTCTTAGTCATCTTTCATAGTGTTAATTACTTCTCTGCACTCCCTTTAATGTATGTTCTGCATCAAGCAAACGAAATAGCGGTCAAAAAGTTAAAGTGCAGTCCTTTAGACGAACATTCAATGTATGTCTGTTTTCTAGTGCATCATATGAAGAATATGCATAATATTTTAAGCAGATTTCTGCATTTATGCCTCTAGCTCAAAAATAGATTTCTAAATAATCTTGTTTACTTGATGTTATTATGTAGTACTGCTTGTTTTTATTAACTCATTTTGGGATTGTAATGACTGATTTCTTTCAGATATCAAGTAGAATTCAGTGCATCAAAACCTCATACATCAGTGCTTCAAATGTACAAAATGCTTGTTTTCAGTACTTACTGCCTAGAAACTATGGAATTGTGTTATTTTTGGTGCATTTTATGTTACTTCAGTTTTCCTCCAAAGCAGAAACCCAAAAACTATTTATTTTGCATTTTATTGATGCAGTAGTAAACAGATGTATAAGAAGTCTTCAGTAACTTAAATACTTTGAAGTATACGATTTGCTACAAAGGTAGGAAGCTGTGGGTGAAGGAAGTTATAACACTTTGACTTGGAAATTAAAATGAGAACTCCATTAACTCACACTACTGCAGATTTTGAGAACTCAAGTTGTGTTAGTGTGTGTTCTGGAACTAGAGTGAAACAGTAAAGGAAACAAAATGTATTCCACTTATTGTGATACTTATTGTGACTTTTTATTGTAGAATAAATAACATGTTTCGTCCCTTTGGAGAAGACACTTCTGATAAGGTAGTAGTTATGTGCTATCACCTTTACTGGGATTTTGACTTCCAAATTTTCTGGTAGTTGTTCAAGGAAGTGTCAGGTAAAGAGAGCATGTCTGATTTACTGTTAAGTATGAGTTACAAAGAGAAGAAAAAAGTACATACAGTTAAATATAGACTGAAATCTGCTGTTTTCTTTGATTGAGAGGGAAAAAAATGTTATTTGGCCATCTGGCTTCTGACGATTTAGAATTTAATCACTTGCTTTTGTAAATGATCGTAAGTTTAATCCCTGTATTCACTGAATGAATTGTCATCAAACACAACTCTGTTCAAGTCTTCTGGACCCAATGACTGCGAAGCTTTGTCATCCCTCCTCTAGCACTGAGCATGGATGTTACTGTTTCTCAACCTGGTCTCCAGTCCAGCTATATTATATTGCTGATAATTTTAGCAAGAAGCATGTGAACACAAAATTGCCTGTAGAGTGATCCTCAAAGAACTGCCTGCCGGGTCACCAAGGAATATGCGTGCTATCTCATTCAGTGCTAATGTAGAGTACTCAATATGGTTCTTGAAAGGCTTAAATCCCACTAGAATGGGGTCTGAAGATGTGCCTGGGGAAGCAAAGCTGTTCTGCTTCCAGTATGAAAAGTTGCACATCTAGAATTACAGAATAGAGCAGTGCATCATCAATGTGTTATTAGAATTGTCTCAAAAGAAGCTGCTAGCTTTTACCTTGCTCGTCTTCCAGTAGAATTTGAAGAGAACCATGCATTTATATTCAGAAAGATTATCTTTGCTTTATTTTAGACATGCTGCAAGTTGTCTGCGCCTGTTTTTGTTTGCTTTAGCAAATCTTCTAGGGCTAATGAGCAATTAAAAATCCATCAAGTCTAGTAAATATCAAGTGCCAATAGATGCTACTGTTCCACCGAGTTATGTAGAAAAATGGATATACCTGACTACTTATTTCTACTTGTTTATAGGATGGTAAATGCCAGGCATGGAGCCCTAACTATTCTTGTGGCAGAGAGTCTTTAAATCTGTTGCTGTTACTTCAGGCAATGTACAGATAATGTCTGGATTGGATGACTATGGGATATACTATGTGAAAGGCAGAGTAGCTTGCTGGTTGTGAATACTAGGCATGTTTCTGAAATTGTTTGCCTACTTGAGGCTGTGTTAGAAAGACCTTCAGTATGAAACACAGAATTGTTCTAATATTTTGGAGAGAACATCTTATAAAACTTCTCTTTCTTGGCATTATACAACTGGAATAGTCTTCTCACTGAAGGTATTAAAAATAGATGGCTATTCATTTTACAAACACAATTGTTTCTATGTGATAGTTTCTGTGGTGCAGTCTGGACAAGATTCTGTCTAAGAGATGGTGTGAGCAATTGTTTCAATTGTTACATCCCTTTTCCCCAAAGTCCCTGGGGAAAACATTCAAAATACTTTCTCTTCAGAATTTAATAATTTAATAAATTGTGTGTGAGTAAAAACACTGGGCTTTATATAGAGTCACAGATACTATTCTGAACCCTGCTGCTACTTGAATATGTCAATACAAAAAAAAAAAAAAGCTGAGAAACTCCTCTTTTCAGCTACCTTCTCCTCTTAAAAATGAGATTCTAGTGTTTGTGTGCAGACTTTCTGATTACTTTGGTCTGCTCTAAGACCTCTAATTTCTTACAGTTTAGTTTTAGAAGAATTAAGAGAAAGAGAAGGAATAATAGCAGACTTCTTATAATAGTGTATATAATAGTGTTATTTCTAATAGGAATGTAATGTGATTTTTAACGTTCTTGCAGTACTGATAAGCATACTTGCTTGGCACTTTATTTTTCAGAACAATATCAGCTATGCTTTTTTTCCAAATAATAAAAAGAGAATATAAACGTTTTTAGAGTGGATTTCTCAAGGGAATTCAAAGAATTATCAGTTTTGCCACTTCAGTCCACATGTCAGTTATGTTGTAACAGTCCTATATTGATTGCGTAGCAGGATGGTTTGAACCTTAAGGACCTTCTTCCCCTTTCATGATTGATGGCAAAGCAAGAATGTTTTGAAGATCATGTACAGCTATGTTTACTTCTATGAATTCTTGACCAAAACTTCTTAGATTCTTGTATATGTAGACTGGAGATTCTGTAGCAGCTTCAGATGCTTCGTATGCTGTAGATGCTTTCTTGCGTTTTTAATGCCAAAGCCTTCAAATCCATTTAATGTAGTGTTCTATTCATTTGTGGAATAGATCATAAGCTTTTCTCATTTTCATTAAGATATGTAATTTCATATGAACAAGTATCATATTTGGGTAATATGAATTGGGTGTGTTTGTAGTTTGAACAGTTGGAGTTCTGGCATCTCCATGGGAGTGGGAAGGATCTGTGGTTTTAGTTGCTCCCTAGAGAAACACTTGCATTCGGCATCATCCACTGAGTCGTCTTACTACCCACTTGATTTAGTGGATGGCAACCCTCCTTATGGCAGGTAGATTGGAACTTGATGATAATTAAGTTCCCTTTCAACCAAGCCATTCTGTGACTGCCATGTTAACTCATGTTAAATGACTGATTTTTCATCTGAGCTACCACTGTTTGTAGCTTCGTGTATTCTTACCAGATTTTTGCAAATGTGAAGGGCTGCTTTTATATAATTCCTTCAAAGGTTCTGCTTCACTTGCTCTATCAACTGTTCCTTTTTGAAATGCCTCTGTGAGATATTGGGCTTCTCTGAGCCAATTTTTCAGTAGATGTGCCTCAGGTCAACCTCTACAGCGTGACTAAGCTGTGTCATCTGTAAACTCACAGAGCAAACATTCAAGTCCTAGAGGCCATAATGGGAGTGAAACGAGGCTGTTCAAATATAAAAGGGTGACAAGTTAAGCTTGAAAATTATCTCAGAGGTTGTATTCTTGGCACAAACAGCCTCTTTGGCAGCTTTAAATATTAACTTATTTTCTGCTACATACACATGATCCCTTAATGGACATCAGATAATCTTTTATGATGTATGTCGGGAGCTTATTTGCTGACATGCTGCCACCTTTATAGATATACTTAGAAGCTTCTAAGTGAAACATTTTGGAATCTCTTGCTTCTTTAATCATTTCTTCATGTTGGTTAAATCATAACAGTTTTCTGCTAATCTGAAGTTCAACTACAATGTTGAACAGGCTACAAGCTTGACAATCATTAGGAAACTCATACGAGTTTCTAGAGACCATGTTTTTCTAAAATTAGTGACTTACCCACTGTCACTTTGTTTCCAAAAACTGAATAAAACGTACCACTTAGTTTTCAAAATGATTAGAGGAAACTATATGTATTAAATTGTTAGTTTTGTTGAATTACATATCAAAGTTGTGTTTCCTCTCTGGTATCTTGTCCCACTGTATTGCAGAAGCTGTCTTTTCGGCTGGATGCTGTGTTTGGAACATAAGCCAATGGATCAGGTCGGATCAAGTATCTACAAAAAGAAATTACAATTCTTATTAAATAGACTTGGCACAAGCAAGGATTAGTAAACATTGTAATGTTTTTAAAAGTTCTGAGGAAGAATTAGACTTAATCTAGTTTCTGTTAGTTAACTTAGACAAGTTAGCAATGCCACTCACATTAGATAGTAGTTTCACGCTCTGTCTACCTAGGCATCATCTGTATGTACTAGACACCTTAATTTTGTTTGAGAGCCCATTTGATCTTTTAGATGCATCAACTCTTTTCCTGAGCATCCACTATGGTCACCAAACACAAAAGTTTGCCCATAACTCTCTGTATTTATGCATTTGCTTTATTCATTATGCTTTGAAGAAGGGGCAAGAGTAAACTGGAGTAAATTATAAAATTTTTGTGTGGAAGCTAGGGACATACTTCTAACTAAGCTCAACAAATAAAAAGCATGATGTTGATAAACTTGGTATAGGCTGATACACTCAAGATGGACCCCTATTCTTGAGAAAGAATTTCAAGTACTTCTAACTGCTGCAAATGCTGCTTTGAGTACAGTTCATCTGTAAATGCTGAGACAATTTCCTCATATGGTAGTTCAAAGCTGAATATTATCTAATATGACTTTTAATTTCTCTGGAATTTGTGAGTAAAAACGCTGTAGAGAGAGAACAACTTGTTTAGTCTCTCCACTAATAATCCCCCTTGAGTGAAGGTGAGCTGACTGCCTAGTCAAGGGAACCAGAGAGTGAGATTGTGCCCACTCTCAAGTGTCAGGAAATGAACATACATTGGTAAAAAACAATGTACAGGCTAAAGTTGTTTACGTAGAACACAACAAATCCACGCTGCAAAATTATGCATTATTGATTTGCTGTTTTTGCAAAGGAGGAAAAAGGGAAGCAGGCACTTAAGTCACCTTTCTAAACTAGGTAACAGTATATGCATTTACAGGTAATATTAGTGCTCTTCATTCTGTGGACATTAATAATAGTGGAAAATTCTGTTCCAAATTATTTCAACACATTTGGAGAACTGTTTGCTATTTGATATAAGTTTCTATTCTGTGCTTTTCATATACCACAGTCCTACAAAGCAGTTTATTCTTGTTTTTAATATCAAGGCTAATAGTTCAAACAGTTCTCTTGCTTATGAGTTGGAAGTGAGGTGGATCAACATTGATATTGGAGCACCTTGCACAGGGACATTGGAGCACATGGGATATGTTGTTGTAGCAGGGAGAGGCAAAAGAATCTACAGACAGATATACAGACATGGCATAGGACCTGAGCATGATAGTTAATTTTCTAAAACTCTTGAGCAGATTCAACTTTGGGTTCACCTTTCTTTCTTGTGTAGTCTTCAAAATTCCTTGCAAGGAAGTAGGGATGGGGTTGGGGAGGGGGAGAAGTGATATTTCTGCATTTAGGTCCTATTATTTGTGTTCAAATAATCTTAAGCACAAATATTGTATGAGAGAAATGGTTTTTTTCTGCTGTATCATGGATTCAAAGACCACTGCAAAATCCTATTTGAAAGCACTGATTCAGAAGGTTGATCTTCCTGTTAAAATTGGATATCTTAATTATAAGCAAGATTATTAATTCTGTGAAGATATCTAGTGAACTTGGTTAGTTTTTATATATATGCACAGAGCAAGATAAAAGCAAATGGAGTTAAGCAGGTACCAAAAAAATTTTTATATCATCATACATAAAGAATTAAATAGATGCTTACGTATACGTATAAGTACAGTTACATGTCTATTTAGATAGAAGTCTCCATCTTTTTCATTCATTTTTCAGGTGCATGGGAATGTGTCCCCACTGCCGGAGCAGAAATATGATAAAAGAAACTTTACACTTCTTGTGTCTTTTTTTTTCTTTAACTTACACTATATCATTCAGCTCTAATCTTGTATCTGGAGAAGGATTGATCAGGATGTAAGAAAGGTTGTTCTGATGATCATTCATTTCATCTAGTGGACAAAGATAAATATACCAAATTAGGTTTAAAAACATATCATCAAAGGTATAATTTGTAACAACCTAATTTTGAAAGTTTCTTTTTTGTCTCAGAGTTGTCAAATAAAATATATTAGGTGCCAAGGTAACAGCAAATAATTAGAACTATCTGATGTATCATCTCTTGAGTTATCAGCTCTCCAAACATGCTTCCTTTCTGAACGTTCTGAAATATATTCTTTTGCACTTCTTTCCAGTTACAGCAATTCTCAGTACAACTCAATTTTACTTCAACCAATATGTTACGTGGCTTACGTTAGTAAGTGGGAAGTAGCCAAGGCTAAATGCAGGGTATGAAATTCTCATCCATTTCCAAATTTAGTTGATATGAAGTATTGTGGGTCGGAATGTGAAAGATACAGAAAACACAATTGGTATTTCTTTGTGTTTCTTTCATTTTTTTTAGAAAGTTTTGCTGATTTAAGTTTCAGCTCAACTGTAGCCATCACTAACAATCTTTTGTGTAGTTTACTTTGAATACTTTTCCTAGGGTGTCACAGTGAGACTAATAGGTCTAAAATGAATAAACATTTTGTACTTTCCTTCTTTTTAAGTGAAAATTAAATAATGTGGAAGAGAATAGCCCAGTTCTAGTTTCAGTGCAATTCCTAAATCTTGGTAATGAACTGTGTTTGCAGTGTGTTCTGCGGGTTAAAAATGACTGTTTTCTAGTATGTGTAACTTTCCTCTGTGCCTGTATCACATATTTTGCACCATCGTAAGTACTTCTGTCTAGAGAATAATTAGATTCTGAATCCAGGTGCAATTACAAAGCTCAAGTGATCTTTTACAGTGCAGTTTAATTCTGTATAGTAAAACCAATTTTAATAAGTACTACAGTATTAAGTATTTTAGCAAGTTATACAAATGCATTCACCAGTATGTTAGCACCATCATGCCCCTGAGAAAGGTTTGCATGACCAAACAAGTGTTATGCCTCAATTGGATTAAGTGAATTCACAGTTAATTGAATTTAGAATAGGAGGTCTCAGAGGTTATGTTATCAGCATAAAGAAAGCTGAAGATGGAAAATTGGCTTTAGGATTATTCCCATACATGAAGATTTGTAAGCAACTGTGGTCATTTCAGTTCATGGCTTCCATTAAAATGAGGCTTTTTTCCATTATGCTAGTATTTTTATTAAGTACTGCGTACCATATCCTGCTGGAGAAAGGCCCAGATGTTTCATTCTGTTTTTCACAAGTTCAGCAAGTTCCTGTCTTTCTGACCTCCTGTAAAGGTTCATTCGCTGCTGGTTTATCCTCTCAGCTGTTTTACCGGAGTGTCTCGGTACTCTTCGGCTCAGCCGTCGAGCCCACTGCATGCTTTTTCGTCGTAACAAGGGGTGGTCGGACTGATCACTAGATGTTGAGTTACGATGATTACTACGGTAATTAACCTGTTCCCTGGTGTCTTTAGTGTCTTCCCATTCTTCTACGCTGATAGAGATTTGAGACTTGAAAGTGATAAGAGAATAAGGGCATTAAAAAATAGAAGTGGAGTAAAATGTTTTCAGTAGTGCAGTTGAACATCCTATTTTTAGAAATTCAAGTTACATAACTTGAGACTTTCTAAACTACTGTTTAGATATATATTGCAAATATATAGAGGAAGTAATTCAACATGTATTGCACTGCTCTGAGTGTTCTCTTAAGATGAAAGGCAAAAGTTGCCTGTTACCAATGTGAATCAGGGTGCGTTTTCCAAATAAGGTAATCTGAAGTTTCCACCTTCAGGAACAGTTATGCTGCTTTTTCACCACAACAGTTAAGGAAAAAAGCAACTTTAAAAGCATCAAAATCTGGTCTTCAACTCTTTTCTTCATGTCATGTAATAACTCAAGTAGATGGACTACATATGTAGTTGTAATATTAAAAAAAAAGAAAATAAGAAATATAAGGAAAAACACTTAAAAACTTTTCAAGTTGTTTTAACTTCAGCATAAGATTTAGCTAATACCTTCAGCTATCTTTTTGAAATTATTGATAATGGGTTGTTACTGTGATATTTAAAACATGTCTTCTACTGTCACTGAAGTAGTAAACGATCCCTGGTATTAGTAAGGTCTTATTACCCAATTATTACCCAGTGTCTGATGAGGGATCTCAGTTTTTTTAGCTTGGAGAAGAAAAGGCTTCAGGGAGACCTCTTGAAGGCCTTCCAGTACTTGAAGGGAGCTTATAAGCAAGAGATACAGACTTCTTACAGGGAAAATAGTGATAAGACAAGGGGGAAATGGTTTTAAATTAAAAGAGAGGAGATTGTGATTAGATTTTATGATGAAATTCTTTACTCAGAGGATGGTGAGAAGTTGTGGATGCACCATCACTGGAGATGTTCAAGTCCAGATTGGCTGGAGCCCTGGGCATCCTCATCCAGTGAGTGGCATCCCTGCCCACAGCAGGGGGTTGAAACTGTGTAAGACTTAAGGGTCCTTCCATCTCAAGCCTTTATTATGATTCTGTGACTGATTTTGATGTGTTAAGTATTGGCAGTTTATTGCAGTTTTCTTGTCTTTTTTTTTTAAGCATAAAATAAAGATGACTTGAAAATGGTGATTGCTTACTTAATAGAATTCCTAAGAACAGAATGAGTTAGTAATATGCTCAAAGTGATTGGTGAATAAAGCAAATTTATCTGAAATGCTGCTGAGTTTCTAAATTTCTTTTCCTATTAGAATAAAATCTGAAAGCAATATTGTGTTGACTTTATCAGTGTTGAAAATAATCTTAGAGGCTTCCCACACTGGTCATACAGATTATTGACAATGCCGTTAGTTGCCACTACATGCAAGGCCAGACTAGAGCTAACTCTCAGAGCCTGTCCTACCTGTGCTTGAGCTATTCCTTCAGTCAGCCACTTCTTTGTAGATGAGCAAAGGAATGAAAATCTGTATGTAGACAGGGCCGTGTGTTAATCTGACTGTATATGCATCAGCAGATGGTGACCTTCAGTAGGTTGGAATTAAGTGCATTTGCAGACATGGCATCCCCAATATTCTTTAAATAAGAGGTAACCAAATCCCGAGAGTATAGTAAACTGACATACTTCAGACGTTGTAAGCTTTTGGGATTCTGTCCTGTAGACTCCAATTGGAATGTCTCCTGTAGAAGAACAAAGTTTCTGATATAGTCTGGCATATGTCCTAATCCATAAATCCTCTTCTGTGATTTTCATCTGAACAAATAATAATAGGAAGAAAACTTAAACTTGTGAGGGTTTACCTCTTGTTCATCATACTACTCTTGAAATTTTTTTTGAACTAAGTGCTAGCTGATAATGATCATATTGTAGCATTGTACCTTTCATCCACAATAAACCTGAAATTTCTAGAGTTTGTAGACACTGTTCCCTTGCTCTCTGTTCGGGAGACACTGCAGTGCAAATGTTCAGTCTAATGGAATAACCTGTCTTTATTTTGAAGTTACTCAAAAATTTCCTTCATACAATGTTCATATATCTGAGTAAAATGTAAAAGAATGAACTAAGTATTACCAGTAGGAAGAGCCTGGTGACAGACTGAAGAACAAGCATATATTTTGAATGCGTCCAGATAACTGTACTTTATGCTGCATTTGGAGTATTTGGGAGAAGGGAAGAAGGCAATAACATAAACATAACTGTGTAACAATGAATTTTTAAATTAATTTCAAATAACTAACGGCTTACACAAGCTTTATTTCAAGATACAGAAGTGTCTTGTCAGAGATGCAGCTAACTGGCATTTACTGTAACTAAGTTAATGATTGACCTACCAACTCTGCAGTGGTTTTCTTTAAAACAAACTTTTTCAAGTAACATTAATTAGAGCAATTAGAGCAAACTTCATTTTTGAAAGCAGCAACCTATAATGCTTTATACTTCACTACAAAACAACTGGCAAATGGCTCAACTTTGACTTGTATCTTTGCTGCTATGGTTGATGGGTATGAAGGAAAAGAAAGTTGAACAGAGTAACCCACTTAAATTATTTTTAACTATGCGGGAGGATATTGACTTTGAACTTCACTGAAATACACCAAATGACTTCAGTTTAGGTATGTGTATAGATGCTTATTTATGTAAAATTCAATTTTGTTCTTCATTACCTATGATGGAAACAGTTGTAAAATAGCATTAGGAATAAGTACTAGTCAGGATGTACTATACAGGAAGAGTTTCTTGTTTTTGATAAATATAGGTTGTTCTAAAAGTAATACCTCCTAGTTATTTCCATGGAAACTAAAATAGATATAAAGAGCACAATAACATTATTTGATAGAGTAAATTCTCAGCTACAAGACACGATTTTTCAATACAATCACAGCTATTAGCTATGCGTTTTCAGCAATGATGAACAAGAGCCTATGTGCTGTGCTCATAAAAATCAGCGTGGCTGTCCAGAATGTGGTTTCTTATTCATATTGCTGTCACCTCTGCTGAAATGAACCATTCACTGTGTTGACATCCAGTTGATCTCTGTAGATGTTCAGCAAGCCTAAATGAAATGCAGTAGGTGGCATATTTTCACATGAAGGAATTCAGTGGCACACCTTTGCTTTAAATGCACTTCCATGTCAGATGTCATTTTGTCAGACTGCCACTCTGTTGCCATCTGTTGTGTGGTAACAAAATGTAATGGAATATTGGTGGGAAGGTTCAACTCCTGCTGCCATACCACCAGTGTCTGCCTCTGACACAATGAGCAAAATAAATAGGAGATGTTACTTTTGGAGCAGCCCTTGTGTTTGGTTAGTAAAATTGGTTACTGAACTGCCATATACATCTACTAAAACAATAACAAAAAACAAACTTGCACTTTTCTTGCATTTTCCTGTATTTCCTGTGTTTCTTTATGCTTCAGAGTATGTACTGTGGTTTTTTTGGGGTGGGGTGGATTGGTTTATTTTTCGGTTATTTGTTCTTTTTTTTTTTTTAAGTAACTTAAACTATGCATGTTTTCTACCTAATTTCCTGTATTTCTTTGTCCCCCTGCTGAAAAAGGAAACAGATGGTCTTTCTTGGTATTCAACAAAAACGAAACTCTTCTACAAAGAAAGTAGAGGTGTTTTGCAGACCATATGGAACATTCTCTGTTGCTTTGTAATAATAGTAAATATACTTTTTTAAAACTTACTGAACAAAGAAACCCAGATCCTGGTGTTGTATCAAGTCCCAGGAGAAGTCTTGTGATAGAGATCATATAATCTTTCACAAATGACTGCAAGATTTTTAACAGAAGACACAGAAAGACAAAAAAAAAAAAAAAGCTTCAATGGATAGATGAGCAGATAACCATATGCACCATATGTGAATTCCAACAGAAACTGTACATCTGTGTTTAGAGTCAATATCTTTTAAGTATCTTTATCATTGTAGAAATAGTTATTTCTTTATGCATGCTGAATCTATTGATTTTAAAAAAATAAAAAAATAAAAAAATTCTGCATATGTATGTCCATAGAGGAGTCAAAGGCATGATGAGGTAGCTTGAAAACTAAGATGTTTATCAATAGAAGTAACTTGTTAGCATTTATTTGTTGTGAAATTTTAATGACTATCTTCTGTGCATATGAAATGCTGTCATACATTAGGTGGAGATGCAGTATAGTAGGTAATACTAAGGTGTGGCTGCTATTATTTTAATTCAAACTGGAGTCATTTCTCTTTGCTGGTCCAGCTTATGATTAAGGTAAAATCTGCATTATCTCAGATCAGGCTTGTTGCTTTAACAAAAGTATTTCAGTAGAATGATAGAAATTAGAGAGGACTAGCCAAACTAAATGTAGGAATGCATGCTAAGGAGACCAGGAATGGACATTAGATAAGCTAAAACAGCAAATGTTTCATCTCCTTATCAATTGGACTGCTGAAATCAGAAAGCTATCTGAGCTCTACTAACTGTGGTAGATCTGTTCATTGCCACCTCTTGGATGTAGAAGGGCAGCATTCAAAGCAGGCTGTCTTTTCTTAGAACACAACTTGAACTAGCTCTTTGGCTTTAAAGTGTGATGACTGCTCATCTGGAGGTCTAGTTGACAAGAGTAGGAGGACAAGACAGAGTGATGTAATAAAAGCTTCTATCAGCAAGTGAAGGTGGCTGATAAATTATTCATACAAATATTTGTATTGATTTTTGTGATTAGAGGCACTGTTTTGTTGGAATTGGCAATGAATATTTAATGTTTTTTTTTCCAGTATTAACAATCTCTATAATCTGTATTTTATACAGTTTGTATCAAAACTATCCATTTTTTTCTGTGGAGAGCTTCACAGTGTTATAACATTTAAAACAGAATTTGTTCAAAGACAGTTTTAGGTTGGTGACTCCAAGTAGTACTGTCTGATAGAATGTGCTCTATGGTCTTTTGCCTTTGATTGCTCCTGGCATAGCACCTACGTTAATGGGTTAATGTAGAAAAATAGAGTAATCCAACAATTAAGTAGAAAAAGTGGGTGGTAACACGGCATGCCTGTGTTAAATGAAGACACATAGTTATTCACAGTACCTGGTACAGCAGTGTGTCCAACATACTGATGCTGAAAACCCTGCCAGCGGCGAAGGGCAGTCGAAACATAAATGCTAAATTAGATCCCTTCTCCCGTTCTTTCTGTATGGAAATTAAAAATAATGAAAAAAAAAAAAAATTACTGCTTTTGAAGGGATTATAATACCAATTTGATGCTACTTTGAAAGAGACCAAAAGTATCAAAATGGCTTTATTCTGAATATAGTTTCCACGAATATGTAGCGTGTGTTCAATACTTAAAGTTTTTCAGGTTGAAAACTTGTGAAATGCATATGTTGCTTTGATCATTATATCTATAATTTGACATTCTACCAAGTCATCTTAAACAAATATTGAAGTATTTCAACTGTTTTTAAAGCAAAGCTCTTTTTATTCCTCATCCAAACTTCTTGGTGTTGACAGTGGACTCTCATTCAAGTTCAGAAAGTCTATTAGCAACATGAATTATGAACAGAGGAAACAGATCAGACAGACCCGGGCAGACATTTTTTGCTTTGATACTTCTGAGGAAGAGATGCTAAAGAATAAATAATTGTTCATTTTTCTTATCACAACTCATACATAAGGAAGTCACAGCAATGTGCTTCCTATTCCTTCAGTAATAAGTGAGTAAACTACAGGTTGGAAGTAATTTTTCCTATTTTAAGGAGAGATGATGTATCAAGCTTTCAGTTTGGAGAATCATAAAGAGCGTGTTCTCCAAGTACAGAGAAGTCATGTTTTAGAATGGAGGGACACATCCATCGCATACATACACCAATCTGTGCTTGGAGCTAGCAGTCTCAGAGGCAGCTTTGTAGGGTGGAATATGGGGGTCCTGGTGGTCTCGAATTGAACATGGGTTGACAATGAGCCCTTGCTGCAAAGGCAGCTAACAGAATCCTGGGCGTTAGGTGGAGTGTTGCTAGTAGGTTAAGAGAGGTGATATCTTCCCCTCTTCTCAGCACCAGTGAGGCCAAGTGTGGAATATAGTGCATAGTTCTGGGCTCCCCAGTACAAGCAGGACATGAATGTTCTGGAGAGTCAAGTTAAGTTTGACTAAGATGATCAAGGTATTGGAGCATAAGGAAAGGACTCAGACAAAACAGTCCCAAGAAAAAGTATGGGGAAGTGTCGGTGGGTTGGTTGATGATGATTTCAGGTGTACAAATATTTGAAGGGAGGATGAAAAGATGGTAGAGCTAGGTTCTTTTCAGTGGCGCCCAGTACGAGGACAAGAAGAAATGGGCATAAACTGAAATGCAAATGATTCTTTCTGAGCATATGGAAACATTTCATTGTTTTGGGTGACAAAGTAGCAAAACAGGTTGTAGAGTCCTTCCTTGGAGATCAGCAAAAACTGTCTGAATGTCCTGGGCAACCTACTCCAGGTGACCCTGTTTGAGCAAGGGCCACTTGCAAGAAAACTTCCAGAAGTTGCTTTTGAATCCAACCATGCTCTGATTCTGTGAGATGCAAAGTATAAGTCTGTTCTAGCTAGTCCATCATCCAAATGTGCTTAGGTTTGACTGCAGCATGCTGTAACCTCTGTCATTGTTGGTTTCACCTGTTGATTCTTACTGTTCTATATGAGCAGAGTTTAAAAGGATGTCAAAGAATAGTAACTCTTGCTATCATTAATCCACTCTTTGTAAAATGTCACCTCTGTAAAGGGGGCCTCAAAATTTTAGAAAAGTATCTCAGAACTTGTTGGTTTTTATTATTATCATTTAATCTAAGTATTCTCTATTCTCTATATTCTGAACGAATGCTGTTTGGCTCGTTTTAGAATACACCATTTTTAGGGCAAAAATGGTCTGGAACAAACATCTTCAAACTCAAGTGCAGACTACAGTGATGTCATTACAGTAGAAAGTTGTGTATTCTACTTCTGCTCAGCATTATAAAACTAATGCAACTCATTAAGTCATATCTCATTCCTAACCAGATTGACACAGATACTTCTAACTTGTCTTGTCAAGAGACCACATCTCTCACTAGCAGTTCTTGCTCCTCAAAGAGGAACTCAAAATCTTAAAATTCAAAGAGGCACCAATGACTGAAATTCTGACAAGCACTTGTTAATTCACGTGCATATTCATACCAGATGCTACCTGAATGATAGAAACTGGCCTCCAGAGATCTGGCTGAGTTGAGACTACTGATTTGCTGCAGGTACTTCTACAGCTGGTGACCAAAGCCTGGTGACCAAAGCCTGCTGCATAGTGCAATTCAACAATTTCTGGGCTCCCACTGTGACCCACGTGAGCTGCTCTGCTAACTTTTAAAATGTTAGCTATGTTCTGGCTGACTGGCTAAATAAGCTTTCCACAAACCAGCAGGTTATTCCCTAATTTGAAGGCAGGTCAAGACTACAGTTACAGGCCCATTGTTATTGCAGATATGTTTGTCCACCACATTTTCTAGTTATCACTGTGCAAAGAATTGTAGTTAATGTGTTCAACTTCTCTTGCTTTCGCAAGAATCTATTTCCATATTATTCAGCTTAGGTTTATTTATCATACATTTCAATTAAAATAACTTATGTCCGGCCTGCTATTGCAGTTGTCTAGAGTCTATGTACAGCTTGCTACTCAGGTAAGCATACTAAAGCTAAATGGAAAAATTATCTCGTACTCCTTTATTCTATACAGTCACACTCCTCTGTACTTTTATGTCACCAGGTCATAAGAAGAAAATATACCTGTACAGGTCTCCCTTGTATATGAAGTATAATTGACACAGCAATTACAGTATAAGCCCATTGGCAAAATTGTCCTGTCCACAGGAGATATTTAGAGGTGTTTGTGCAGAGAGTATATTTTTTTCATGAGTAACCTCCTTTAAAAAAAAGAAAAATCCAACAAAATAATTTGTTCTTTAAATTAAAAACTCTTTAAAGTGTGCTAGAATCTTAAGTATCATTGCAGTTAGAATACTTTTGTATTGTAAGGGAAAGATTTTTTTTTTTTTTCCGCACTACAATATCAGGTTGAGTTGCATTAAATTTCTGGAACAATGTAATCACTAAGAGCATGGCAGAAATGCCAGTTTAACTGAGGGAAATCAATAGCTTAAATGAAGAACCAGAGAAGCATGTGTCCAGGTACTTAAGTTTTTGGTTTTTTTTCAGAATGTAATTTCAAAAGCATCTGGAAACTTGCTTCTCTTGTTGAATCAATAGGAAAAAAAAATACTATATACTTCATTATCCTTAATAAGTTCAGTGTGTTTAGACTTAGAGTTTAAATCTGCCTTTCATGGTTCAGTTTCATTGCTAAGATTTATACTGCTTCTGTGGAACATTAGATCAAATAGAAGTATTGAACTGAAATCTCAACACAAGCAAGGGAAAGAGGACTATTGTCTTGCACAGAGGAGAAAAAAAAAAGCTTGATTTTGTTGAAGTTGTTTTTATGCTAGTTATTTTTTGTCTCTATCTTTTTATTCTTTATCTGTGACTCAATTTTTCTTTACCATGAGAAATGCATGCATGCAAACAGTGCACACATGTTCTGGTTGAAATAGCAAAGAATGTTTTTAACAAGTGTATTATAGATAAAATTGAAGAAAGCATCATCTTAATTGTACAAAGAGCACTTAGAAAAGCATGCTATTGGGCTCTCTGTGGCTTATAAGACCGTATGTATTTATTTTGTAGCTCTACATCATACATTTGAATGCTTTTCGTTTATTGCAAAGTAGAAGATAGGAGTTGAAGAAAAGTTATTGTGAATGAAAGCTTGTGTGTTGTACAACAAATACTTCAATATTAAGACTATATGAATTTCATAGCATACATTACATTAAATTCTTTGAATCGTGCCACAAAATATTTTACAGGCAACTGTGACAATCATATGAAAAAATCGTATGAATGAGGTGTAGTGTTTATCATTCCATTTTTTGGGGAGAATTTGCTGAGGATTCTGGTTTGGTGACATGAAGGGGTGGATTAGGGCAAAGGCCATATTTTGAGAAATGCTTTTGCTTTGTGTCCAAAGACAAATAGATCATTTGGTTTATTTTAAAGCAAGAGCCTGAACATTTATTTTTCCCCTTTATATTAAGTTTCTTATATTGCCTCCTTTCTTTTATTACAGACTTGTTCTTCCTTTTTTCTGGCTTAAAATAGATTTGTGAGAAATGCAATTTTTACTCAGGCATCTGGTGTTGATGTTTTTTTCTTTATTACCTGCATACTCATTGGTGTTCCAGAGAATATGGCAGATATAGAAGCCAGAAATATGTCAGAACGCCTGAGATGTTTTTTTTCCCATGTGTGATGCCCAGCAGCTCCTTCTCTGACACTTTTTTGGAACTCATAAGAAAGGAGATACTCAAAGAAAAAGCATAGATCATTTCTAGGAACATAAATAAAAGACCATGGTGCATGTACAGTTCAATGGAATGCACGCATATAGATAATCTTTTAAGATAGTTATTAATAGATTATTTACTTCATCCTCAATCTTTGTTTTATGGTTGTGGTTTGGTCCAAGTCAGGAAGTTCAGAATTATCACTCTTTTCTGAGTAGTAACAAATGTACACTTCTGATTTTGATAGTTCTTAGCATGTGCTATGTTTCCTCTGCATTGCTATTTCATTTGTAGTTTATTTTTTGGAGGGTTGCATTTTGTTAGAACACTAGAGAATATCTATCTGGCTCAAGTTTGTATTGCAATTTTGCCTTTTTACTATTTATAAATAAAAATACAGTCTAAATCATTAATACGGTAATGCCAATTACAAAGCACTATCTACAAGATAACCTGAAGCCCCGCTTTGGCCACTTCATCAGTGATTGAAAGAGGTGTACAGCCCATCTTGATTTAATATATTCTCCTATATAATATAGACAGCAATATGGAACTGCCATGGAAGGCTGTAAATGTTTTGTACAAGCATTGCAAAGGCACTGTACAGAATGTACATAACGCGACCCACACGTGTTATGGGGTCATCCAAAAACATCAATGTGATGAAGTTCAGTGGCTTGCTACAGAGAACAGTCAAGTACATTGTTAGTTCTTATAAATACTAGTTGTTGCCCATATGAGATACAGCTGATTGAAATATAGTCACAGAAACCTGTTTTTAGTCCCTTTCTAGATATAAGTGATTTGGGATTATTATCACTCCACCTCTGCAGTACTTTATGGTTTCTTAGACTATTTTCCTAATTGCTTCTCCTCTGGCTTTTTAGCAAGAACAGATTCATTTTTTATTGTTGATCTGAAACTGCTATCTACAGATCTCAATTTAGCAGCAAAATGTGCATCCTTATTATTTATGCTTTTATTGTTTAACGTTACTTCAGATCCGCTTCAAATCAGAACCATACTAAAAAGAAATGAAGACAGCATGTTTTATCCTTAACTGAAGTTGAAAAAAGCAAACTGTCTTTGTGCATGTCACGCCAAATAGGCAGCTATCCCAGATAGATTTTTGCTCACCTAATGTGTATATTCTTATGCTGGTGGACAATATAAAATCAGAGTGTTGTATGATGAAATATACACAGGGTTGCAAATACTTTAAAAGATTGTTTAAAGTTTAGAGTTTTTATCCTTCCATTGAAACCTGTGGTATTTAATCATCCAGGGCATTCTAAGCTCTTCAAGGAAGGGGTAATGGTTACCTCATATTTTTTCTTTATCTAAGACAAATGGAGAACAAAGTTTTGAACTGTAGATACCACATACTGGAAAAGAAGCTACTGCTATCCTTGCTCCCCCTAGTCATTAAGTTTTACATATTGAGGAAGTATATTTAAAATAAATAATATGTGCAGCAGATAATAGTGCACTCTGGACATAAGCTAGGTTAGAACACACTATTGAAGGTCTTTCAGCTGTTGGCACTTGATGCCCTATATCAACTAGCAGTGCATGATTCCAGCCAGTTCCAGCTTAATTCTTTCTGCAGTTAGCACTGAGGGGAGAGGAGTGCTAAAATGTAAGAATCGTGGGTGCAAACTTTTATGGGTACAGGGAGTGAGGTAATACAAATGAAAATATGTCTCCCAATGCAAGCTGTTCCTCTCTCCATAACAGTTTCTGTCTAGCTTTTTCATGATTCTCAATTTTGTGCAAATCAAAACACCGCCTAAATAAGATTTAAGCTATCCTTCTGTTTTAGGCTAAAAGACCAAAAAAAAATCACAAAATATCACCTACATATTTGCATCTTTTGGTCAACATGTACGCATAATAGTCAATAGAGTTGATTGTGATAAAACTTCTTATCATCCTGTCTCATCTAAATAAGCTGAATTTAAAAAGAGTTCCATTCTTGTATAAGATGGCCTGTGAAGATAAACTTGTGTGAAAAGGTGGTTTTCCATTGCATAATACATTACATGAACACTTGTCAACACTATGTCAGCATTACACAGTAAATAGTGAAAATACTTGAAAGTTCAAATTTACATCCAGATTCTAGGGAACTCACCGTGCAGCTAGGAAATGGGAGTTTTATGTTACTTCTGCATAATAAAAATGACTTCAAACTGAACTCAGATTTTTCTAAGGTAACTAAGACATATGACATGAAGAAATTGGGAGTATACCTAGATTACTAGCAAGTGGGGGGCAGGGGACGGAGAGCGACTGGAGTGAAAAAGTCTATTTTGAAAACCAGTGTCAGGATAGTATTTGTCTTAATTCATGAAGTGTCTCACAGGCCTGTGAGATCGTGAAAACAATGGTGAAAGTTTTCTAGGCTGCAGAGGTAGGTCAGTCAGATCACCATCTCTGAAAAAGAGGTTTGTTCTGGAATTGACCAAGTTAAGCAGATAGCCAAAGTTACTATCTAGCAATAGTATCTTGGATGAGTCTGGGATCACATGTTCCTAAGCAAGGTAAACTCGGCTTACCTCCTTACGGCCTCTCTGATAACTTGAAAATGCCAAACATACATGAGCCTATATGGGTTTGTCAATATTTAAGCAGTGTTACTATCCTTACCATCAGCAGGACTTCCTATGAAAGAGAACTGGTGCTCTCAAACTGTCATGATAATATAAGTACCAGATAAATGAAAGTGCTAACAGGATGCAACAGTTCTACATCAAATTGGTGTACAAACTGCATTATTCTAGAACACGTGTATGTATTAAGTGTTTAGTATATTAAACTGTTCACTACATTTTAGAGATCTCCTTACTTACCTTTTCCAATTTGGATAAAGCAAGAGAATAGCAGTCTTTGGCTCTGAATTGCATGAATCTCATATTGGCGGGGTGAGTTAGTTCTGTGATAATGCTTAGGCTTGAGAACAACCTGTATTTTAAAAGAATGTTGCAGTTTTAAGCTCTAATTAGAACAGTTCACAAATGTAAGGCTCTACATAACACTGTGACTTGTGCTCATGTCCATGTTTTTAATTAAGCACCTGAAAACTTGTCTTTTTGGCAGCATAAAAAGCTTATATAATAGATGCTGATATAAGGCTCTAAATTTGACATATTATACCAATAATGCAAGGCAGTCATCAATCATTTTATGTGCTCTTCTTGGAACCTGACCTTAGTGAGGTAATGTCAAATGGATTGCACGGTGCATTTTTTCAACTCTTTAGTCCTTGCCCTCAGTTTTGTAGGGATGAACTTCACTGAAATAATAATTCACGTGCAGCCTAAATGTGGCAAAATGTATTTCAAAAACTACCTAGCTGTATGTGTGTTAATGGCATCTTACTGCAGTTTTTTTCTATGTTTGTTGAGAGAGAGAGAGATTATTAAATCATACTATTATAGAAATGTTGGACATTGTTATGTTAGCAGTTCTGTTCCAGTGAATAACCAAATACTGTGATCATATAAGAAAAAATGGAGTTAGTAAACTAGCTGAGAATATGAATGACATCACTTAATGACATTTTGTGTGCACTGTAGCTTGAAAAGTGCTGTGTATGCTCAGGATTTTCTGTGGCAGTTTAGCTAGTGCAGTAGTTATATAAAGGCTATTACATTCTACTAAAGATGAAGCACTTAGAGAATAGAGTCTCCATACATAGGTTAAATACATGGTAAATACGCACTTGAGTTGCAACTATGGTATGACTTCATTTATTTCTTTTTTAATGTATGATACAAATGAAAGTCTTGAAAATACTCTGTACATTTGAACTTCTATCCCTTAACTAAACTAAGGAAAAAGTCCAGAGGAAGAACATATTTCCTATTTAAATTCTGTTATTTTCTGTGTTAACTGTGTATCATGTAGCGTATAATTACTGAAGTTTCTGCTGGCTGGAAATTTTTCTGGTATTATTGTGTTAATGGACCAGCATTCAGGTTTGAAAAATAACAGTATAATATTTAGAACTAAAAGCAAATTAAACAACTAATCTAATGGTAAAATGCACATGATCTGAAGAACATTTGCAAGTTACTAGATTTCTGCTACAGATGGATTTAGTTAATCACCAAGTTATAAAAGAAGATTACAAAAGATGCTACAAACGTGCTATTAGTAAAAATTCATAGCTCTTATTTAAGAGTGCCCTCTAGCGGAAATAGGGGCGAAAAAACATTAGAGATTCTCAAAGCAAGATTTCCTCTTAACCCTACTTTAAGGCACTGCCTGCAAGCTTTCAACAGGACAGTCCTATTCTTTACAGAGATTTCTTTTTTCTTCTTCGTTCTGTTTTCAGGTTTTTTTGTTTGTTTGTTTTGGTTTTGGGTTTTTTTTTGTTGTTGTTTTTTCTTTTATTTAACAAAAATTTTTTAAAAACTGGCTTGGGAAGAGGAAACCTTAATCAGCCTGATGGAAGACATGCTGTTGTTGAACTGATATTTGGAAATTGGACAAGTGAGAGATGGATATGAGCCAAGAGGAATAAAGTATGAAAAATATGTAATGGCATCATAAGACCTTATTTGGTTCATTTATAAATTGATGCTGATTGCTAAGTGTCATGTGAATTACTAACTTATTAGTATACTGTATATTTTACATGTATATACTGTATACAGGTATACTGTATACAAATTTCTTGCAGTTTTTGAAACTTAGCCACCAAAATGTTAGATAATAAGAGCTTAAAACAGGACTTCCCAAACATCAAAATTTAAATCCATTAATTAATATCAAGTAAGAATAAATATAAACACTTCTAGTACAGATTTTCTGCTTAAGGAAGCCTGTTTTACTGAGGTAGTAGTCAATGATTAGCTTCATATTTTACACTGAGAAAGATCTCTAGGACATAGCCAAAAACTAGTAATTGCTCCGTGTACTTTTAATCTATGCTGATTTGTTCTTTTCCATCCAAAGGATTAAAAATTTCCTTTTTAACTTGATGCAACTGTTTGAGTTGCACCTCTTCACTCCTTTTAACTATAAATCTGGTAATTTAGTGTTGTCAGAATTTTAATTGGTATGAAACAACTTCTATCCTTAAAGGTGCTAATAACTCTATCATGTTATAAACAATACATCCATCTCCAAAACAAAGCTGGATGGGGATAAACTCTTCTGACTAAACAAGATAAGTAATTTATGTAAATCAGGGAATAATGCCAAAACGGGCTTATTAGAGTTGACAACTTAGGCCAAACAGCATTACAATGCACTCGCATCATCTCTTCGGGACTGCCTGCAATCCATAATGAGATCAGCTGATGTGAGTCAATGAGATTTAGATAAACTTATATTTTCTGAATAGCTTTATTTCTTATGACTCAGTTGGAATCTTTTTCATTCGTTTAAATATGTTTGAGAACAGCATATATTAGCAAAACTCCAGTGATGTAAAATCCTTATTTAATACTATAGTTTTTGTTCATTGCCTTTGTGTTCCACCATGTCCATCATCTTCTTCATTAGTTTCTTACAGACATTACTAGATAACAAAAAAAACTTTAAAGATCTTAAAGTTATAGTTATGTTCATGTGATGAATGTAATTTATTCTGCAGAACAGATGAATGTCGCTACTTTACAGCACTTTCAAAAACTTAGTTATTCCTGCAACTTAGTTATCCCTGCGACTTGGATGTCATGTAAAAATACAGGGAATACATTGTGTTTGAGGAGAAGTAAATTCAGGAAAAGAGGTAAAATAGAACAGTTGACAAGGTTTTCTGAAAACAGTGTTAATTCTTAAAACATGTTATTTATTTTTATTTATTTTGAATTTGTAAAAAGGACTATGCAGTCTTAGAATTATACTGAGCAGTTGTATGTTTCATATATGAGTTACAGCTCATCTAGTTGTAGCCATTGTGCAGGAAAACAATGGTTTTACTAGTTGGATATCTATTTTATATAATGTAATTCTGTGATTTTATTTTTTTAGTTTTGGACTAGGTAGAACACAACTATGGGAAAAATCAACTCCTACTTAACAAATTTTATTTACTATCCATTCTATTTTTCAGTTTTATATTTGGGGAAAAAATTATTTCTGGAAATCTTAGTGATGCATATCAGAGCCTCAGTGAGATATCCTAGCACAATGTGGTTATTATTATACTTGAATGTTCCATGAATTAAGTTTAATTATAATTTCTAAATTTGATATGTGATTGAGATGCATCTGTGTTAAAATCAAATGTAAATTCAAAATCTCAAAGTTGAAATAGACGGAACTAAAGCTTCTTATGTAGCATAGATTTTGCTTCTTTGGAGCGCATGCAGTGATGCTAGCACTACTCAACTGCACAGTTGGGAAAAAAAAAAATCTGTTGAAATACTTTAGATTTCACATGCTTATTTTTCTTGACCAAACCTTACTAAAATAAACTACAGTAGGTCTTGGACTTAAGCACTAGATCAGGGAAGCATTTCTTAGCTGTCCTTTTAGTGTATATATCTGCTTTTTTTGTGGGTTTTTTTCAAAGAAACTTTTTTCACTGTTTAATGTGACTTCCATTATTTGGTACTTGTTGAATTGAGATACTTACGTGAAGTGTAGCTTTACTCAGGAGATGTTCTCAAATGATCAGGAGGTCTCTGAACTCTTTGTCACAGCACTGCTTTCTTAGTCGCTTTCCTAGACTTATAATTTTTCACTCTGAATTCAGATATTCCTTCCTGACTCTGAATATGCTATTGTCACAGGTAATGCTGTACACATGTGCCTGAAAATCTGATTTTTGTTGAAAAATCAATATTCAGAATTTATACACAATTAACTTCATACCAATGCATAAGCTGCTGCTTTAGAAGGATCTGGTTTTTGAATCATCTTTAGCAGCGCAAGGACAGCTGCACTAAGGAAAATGTGGGGTTTTTTGTCCTGTTTTCAAGAGTAGCATTTGTTCCTTTCCTATAAACCTGAAAATTAGAAATTATCCTCCAGCTTGGGGATGACTTTGTCTGAGATTTCAAGAGAGTTATGCCAAGAAACAGAGTTTATGGTTAAGGCTTTTTGCCATGTGAAAAGAAAGGGGAAACAAAAATAAAAACCACACCCTCGTCTGAATACAGAATGCATTATTTGGTACTTCATGATTAATGAACATGTAAAAAGAGACTGCAAAAAATCTCTCACCTGAAGAGTGTTTGAACATTTACAATAGTCTTAGCATCTGCCATGTAGTCTTCCTCAGCACTCATTGTACTTTCTTTGTCCACCACCACCATATTAGCTGCAAAGGTGATCCCACATCTTAATAAGTCATCTAGGCTTTTGTGAAGAGAAAGAGGGAGAAAGAAACCAACAAGTCACTTAAACCTGAAATGCTTAAAAGATTAGTGATGGTTGGTACTGATAAATCACGTTGAGTTGCTGGTTCCCTGCAACTCCATGTACATATTTATAACTTCTAGTACAGTCTGTGTCAAAAATATGAATTGAGAGAATAGAATATGAATTGTTTTCCTTGTAGTCATAGAGAATACACTTCAGCAGGTTGTTACAGTCAGTCTCCTCTTCCTAAAACTGTAGAATTATTTCAGAAATTAAAATGAGCCTTTAACTGTTACATGGAAAGACTGTATGTCCTTACATGTTTCATCAACTTGCTTCATTATAGTTATTTTTGGCAATAAATGGATCTAAAATGATTGCTCTTTATCACATTTCTGTTTCAGTTTCAAGTTGTTAATAAGGGTTGTAAGGGAACATCTGAAAAGCTCCTCTTTTATCTATCAGAGTGTTGTTACAATGCTTTTAGGAGCAGCTGTACCTCAGTAGAATATTTCACCCACTGGATAATATCTGCTGTGAAGTTTGACCACAGAAAACCACCTCTGACAACTAAATTACAGTTGCCAGCATGCCTTATGTTTATTTCCAAAATGAAGCACGTTTTGGTTGGTTGTTTCTGTGGCAAAAGTTACTTTTAAAACAATTCTGGAAATGTTTCAGAAAGTTTTTTTTGGTTGGTTGGTTTTTGTTTTTGTTTCTGTAATAAAGCTGCTGGGAACCAAACAACTCTTCAGTGAAAATGAGAAGAAAGGGTATTTCATGGTTTCCAGGGGAAATTGAAAAGCTACATTTTTTGCATCATTCTGTTTACTTCCAAGGAAGAAAAGCTATTTTGTCATTAGAATTGCTTCTCATTGGCAGTTGATCTAATCTAATATTGTCTTAACTACACTGATTCAATTACTATTGTTCTCAGTGATCTTCTAAGGCTCCTAAGTTTTACATATTCTATTATAAATCTGTTTTGAAATTCTAGAATAAGGAAAAGGATACACATTATTGGTGTGTATTTATTTTACATTTTATATGTGTTCTTCCAAAACAAATACATGATATAATTTTTGAAACTGCACTTTAACTGGTAGTTGACTATTAAAAGAAAAATTATATGATCTACATTAAGAATGTCAGTGCACATGTGGAAAACTGACCTTTCTCTGAGTAATTTAATTACTGCTATTTCAGTCTCTTAATTGATTAAAATAGCAGCATATTCTAAAATGCAACTGTATTTTCTGCATTTCAATGATGAAAAAACTATTCATTTTTTTAGTTGTACTACTACTTTGAGTTACTTTTAAAGATGTGGGGAATTAGAATCCTAATGAGTATTTTTATAATTCCATTATCAATATTTCTTAATATTTAACGGATTCCTGCACTACTGGGATCTGGTCACTTACACATCTCACATTGTTTATGTATGTAGATGTTTCTGCTAACTTGGTAAATTTTGATGAAGTTCATTCAAGCTATGGATTTCTGTAAAGATGTTTTTCTGCAGGCTGCTTGCTTCTAACAAAAACGAGTGGTATGTGTGGGTAATCTTTTTTGTGGTTTTCTCTTCAACTTGGTGACACTGCATACCAAGTGACCATAGGACAAATGTATTAGATATTTAAAAGGTAGCAGATGGCATTCTTAAATGCACTGGAAATGAATTGCAGAGACGTTAAGGAAGGAACTTTGTATATTTTATATTGTAGAATTAGCTAAACATGATTGATTTCTGTTGATTGTATATGATTTTAAAACATTTAGGAAAACACAGGGTAAAAATAAAATCTCGTTACTGATGAAAATAGATGAAATAGTGAAAAAATAAACTACATAATCTGACTGAATTTTAAAGTGACTGCATTGTCAGATTTGATGCATAAATTCATGATAATACTGCAAACGAGAATTCTGTGTAGTAATGTCTTTGATAGACTGTACTCAGTTTTATGCATTCATTTCTTAAAAATAAAAATAAACAAGATACACCTCAGAACAAATGAAAAAGAAACGTTAGGGAAGCATTTAGTGATTTCTTTTTGGAAGTAAAACCAGTAATTTTTATTAGAATTTAATCTTCTTCTTCCAAGTTAATTAAAAATGGTCTTTAAGTTATTAATTTTTTTATATACTGTGAGTCAGTTAAATTAGTCTGCTTCTATGAATTTTCTGTAACTTCTATAGGATTAAGACCTTAAAAAAAAAAAAAAATAGTAGCTATTAACAACCCAAGACACATTTTTGCTTTAGAAAAACACATCTAGTAAGTGAAAAACATGTCTATAGATCCACTGCAGATCTCACGGTGGCCAAGATATTGCCAAGACAAATCTGCAGCTCTATCGCTATTATTAGCAGTTTTAAAGCCCCTGTTAAAACAGGATGAAAGTTTTAAAATGTTGAATATTTAAAATTTTCATTGAAAAAATAGATTCTGCTACTTCTGGGCAGGAAATAAATAATTTGATGTCTGTGTGGAGAATGAGTATTATGGCCTTGCAGCCCCACCTCAAAAGCCACGTAATGAAGCAAACTGTTTTCTACTTTGATTTGACACTCGAGGCACATGAGCTTACTAAAATGCTAATGAGTCATCGTCTCCCCTTTGTCGTTTCTGCCTGATTTTTACATTGAATGTATGTTGCTAAGCTTAGATATGTAAATATATGCCAGCAGAATTTCTGAAGACAAATATAGGAGTAGGCGAATGTTTTATGTAGGGGAAAATTAAGACTGTTGGACACATTTAAACTCATTAGTTTTAGTGTTGTTTGCATTCTATAGCTATTTTACATAACCCTAGTCTGTAAATGATAAAGGATGTCACTAGAATCAGTGCTATTACCTGGCAATTTCTAGAGATGTACTAATAAAATAAATGTTAATGGTTGTGTTTTGAAGATACTGAACTGTGTTCCCTGTCATACTTTTTACTAACGATATCCTTTAGAAGTCAGAAATTTGAAATCTCAAACTATAGCACACAGACACACAAACCATGCATGCAGATAGATCATCTTCAAATATAACGCACACATAGACATGCAATGACAATACACAAAACAAGCCACTGACCACTACAATGTCAAGTTTTCTAACAGTTACTTCACCTACTTGTCGATAGAGCCCACCATGTAGTAAACCATTGGAAACCAACAGATTGCATCCAGAAAATGCATATCTGGCCTAAGCAGCAGATGGGATTACAAAATGAAACACAATATCACAACAGCAGCATCTCTTCTAAAATACTTCAAAAAAAAAAAAAAAACCAGATAGTTTGGATGGTGGTTTGTTAACTTCAAAAACAACTTGGAAGTATTATCTCTTTATACAGGTAATAGGATTGCAAAAAACTGTGAATTAACAGTGCTGTAATCATAAAGAATGATCAGAATGATCACATGCTTATTAATAAATGCACCTCTAAAATCAGAAAATTTATGGCACAGTACAATTCCAAATATAAAAATGAATGATTGATTTCAAAGACACACTGCCAAGTTGTGCACCAGTGCATGAGTTAGAGATACTTAAAATAAGCAGTGAAAACTTAATAAAAATGTGAAGTAGAACCTTTGAATTTTAGCTAATAACTCTAGTTTAAGTTAATGAGAAAAATTTTGAAGAAAAATACTGTTTTAAAAAAATGGGGTTTTTTTGTTTCTTTATTAATAAATTTTACTGGATTTCTTGCATACTGAGAAACAACTGAAATCTCAAAAAATGCCACATATAGGTAACAGAATAGGCATACTGTAATGGTGAGTTGATAAAAAGAAAACAGGATTATAACAAAAAGGCATAGGCAGGTCCATCAAAGGTGGTGGATTCCTGAGTCCAGTGAAAGAAATTGCAAAATGCCAATTGAGTTGAATGGCACCAATAGCTCAGCCTAATGCATGTATGGAAAGCATGCTGGCTTTTCAGGTGGGACTCTGCAACCCACTGAATGCTGGGAGGAGCCACTGCAAATGCAGTGTAGAAGGTACAGAAATAAGGGTTCTAATTTAATTATTAGCCAAAACTTTTTGCCATTAAAAAGGAATTTTTAATGTGAAGATGTAAAGTTATAGCACTGAAGTGTGTTACCTCAGGTACTGTTGTGGAAAAGATAGCAAGCGCTAGAGGGCACTGTATGTTCATATCACAGCTTAAGCATCAGTTTGTAACTTTAAAAAACAGAAATCTTTGAAGAACAACTCAAGCTTTCACCAAATCATGTAATTCATTTTATGCCATGACATATATACACTTAAAACCTTTGCTTTGCAAGCACAAGTGTATACAGCTTCATTAAAAAGCTGTTTGAGGCTAAAGTAGAACACTTCATTGCAGATCTTTGCATAAAAAATTGCTTGTAATAAACCAGAGCATGTATATGCAAATCAATGTGTCACTTCAGTATCTGTACAGTACATTTTCTGATGTAATTTCTTTAAGTCATAGTTCAACCTCATATTCCTTATCTGGCTAACCTCCATTTCTGTGTCTTCCAAATTGTGGTTCTAAGTATGTAAGCAGCACCAAAGAGCTGCAGTTGCAAGTAAGTTCTTCAGCCTCCCCCCCAGCCCCCCGAACAATAAATTATTTAAGTTCAGATTATTAATGCAGTACTCTTGTCAGAAGGTTTCTTTCTTAAATTTTAAAAAGCTAATGCAAAAAAAGGCTAATAATTTTAGCGATCTCTGCACAGATATGGTATTAACAACAATATTATGGGTTCATGTTATTGCAGAGAAAGGGAATTAGAAGGTGGATCCTACTGGCCTTCTTAGAGTCTAAAATTATTACAAATATTACAAAGTTAAGGCCATTAAGTGACTTGTAAAAGCAGTATTTGAAGTGTAGTTTCATAGCTACAAAAATGTTACACAAATTGACTTTTCTACAGTGCTTACAAAGTTAATTTTAGCGACTATTCATATTACTTTAAATGTTTTAATATTTCATTGAAACATCACCTGTGAAGAATAAGGACATTAGAATGTAATACAGCCATTTACAGTCAGGAGAAAGTCAGTTTTGTGTATAACAATATAGGTTCTGTATTTTTTCACTTTTTGCAAAGATGTACGTGCCATAATGTTTTTGATTTTAAGTTGGCCATCTGAAGAGTGATCACCTATCAAAGTAATGATAAAACGATTTTAAAATGTATCACAAAGGAAAAAAAAAAATACAGAAATATATTTAAAATCTACATACGGGTTATCCAGGAGTAATACAATGGGATTGAGTTCTTTTTTCGGTCTGTAATAAGCTCTAAGTGGAACAATAAAATTATATAAGCCATTTCCAGCAGTTTCTGCTGCAACAATAATCAATTTATTTTTGAATCCATAGGCTTTGGCATCTTCGTAGTAGTTATGCTGGCACCCCTAAAATTAAAACAAGAAACAAGTTCAGTGGATGTGAATAAAGAGGTTTAGTGGAATGGAAGGGTTTACCATTAGAAATAGAAAATTGTATCAGCCGACCTGAAACAGACCTGATTAGATAGATACAAATACTTGGAGATGAAAAAGGATGAGAAACTTAGTCTGTGATAAAGCTCATAACTAAGCAAAAAAATGTTCAGATGCAGTAGACAAATGTGAATGAAGTTTTATCCAATACCAGAAACTCCCTTTACCTTATCTAGTCTTAGACAACAGAAGGGTACTTTTTCATGCAGAAGATGACAAAATGTGGGAGAACTTCCAATGTAAGGAGAGTAAGGAGGATAGCCTTTGGCATACCTAGTAGAATAGAAAAAAAACATTTATAGCCAGTGAAACACATTTCATTATAAAGCTGTTATATGGGATGCTTATACTATGCCTAAGTTAAACAAGTATTTGTGGACTAAGTGTCAAGTATATTAAATGAACGAAGGTATGTAATTTAAATCTTTGATCCATTCTATAAAATGTATTGACAGCTGTCATATTTTTGGGAAATAAAGGAATTCTGTTGGGCTTTTTTTTTTTTTTCTACAAGCATCTTTGGAAATGGGCTGATATATTGTAGTGTACAGGCTTGGTGTTTTAAACACACTGGAATATAAGGAAAGTTGGAAAACTAGAAAACATGGTGGGACAGCTTCTCTTCCTTCCCCATTTATTATTCATGAACAGTATGAATGAGTGAGGTCTTACCTTCTTTTATCAAAGATGAAACTTCTAATTGGCCTTCTTTTTTAATAAAAGACTACATGATAGTGAGGAAGACTGTCACTTGCAATGGGAGGTGCACGTACGTGATCAGCCATCAGGGAAGACTGAGAAAATAGGAGGCCTTTTATATTCTGTTGTTTCAGTTTGCAGACTGAAGATGACTTATTCTATTATTTTTTTTCGTTGGATTTTTATGATCTTCCCTGGGGCTTCTCATACTTAGTGAAGTTGGAGATGTGAAACTGCTAGGTAAGCCATTGGCTTAATTGAGTATTTCAGTTTTAATATCCTCTTCAGTAATCCCAATAAACATAATTGCCTATCTTATTTTAATGGCGGTTACCGGATTTGCTTTTTTGTGAGCAATGCAGCGTTACTTTCACTAATGTGCTAACAAACAGTTTAAATTAGATGTAATAATATGATCTCATATCACATTTTGGATTGTTCTTATGTTTTGAACTCAGGTACCTACTGTTAGTTTTCAACGTGCCTGTTAAAGTACCTGATTGTCAGGGGAGGACAGAGGTATTTATTTGTTTGCAGCTTACTTTAGTCCTAGTAACTATGAACTGTAGGAAAAATGGTCATGAATGTCACTTGATGTGTATGCCATAAACTGCTATACACAGATTTGTGTTACAGAGTGTAGAAAATCTCCCATAGATGGAGGATCTGTTTTTCTTCTTTCAAAGTAGGTATAACAGTATTGTGCTACCAGACAACAGCATTTCTTAAAAAGAAATACTTCCTTTGTGTGTCTTACTTGCTACAACTTCTTGGATTGATCTGCATGTCCCAAAACTATCCATGCTTGTTTCAAATAACATTACTTAGTTTACATTAAATATACGTACTCTAAGCCTGCAGAGACTTCATCATCGGATGGAGTGGTTTCATCTTCTGACTGGTCACTTAGTAGGTCGCATGCCTGAAGCGAGGATGAGTCTGCAACCTCCAGAACAGGTGCTATACTGGGCCGTCTGCCCTCTTTGCCTCCCTCGGAAGGAAGAGCTAGTGTAGGTCCGCTGGACGTTCGGCATCCTGTGTCTTGTAAATCGATAGCCACAGTTCCTGAAGTAGTGTTGAAATTGTTTTACAATGTGATTGTCACAACATTTAAATGAGATTCCCGTATTTAGTAGGGATTTTCAGACCTCATGGACAAAGACTAAAAAGAATACTGCATCCATTAGCTGTGTTTATCACATTAAAGTATAACAAATATTTACTCTTGAGGAAGCCTTCTCCTGTACATCTGCATTATCCCTAACCATGGATATATATGCCAAGTATAATTCACTCATATTGATATGCATCACCAGTGGATTTCATATTTCATTCATGCACATCATTTAGTAATAATTATAAATTGGACCCTAGGTGTAACAAACTCACTAGTTATTTTCACATTTCTAAAACCTACATTAGAAGATGGTACCTGAGTTCTTGATACTTTTTAATTTACTTTTTTAATTTTCTGTTTCTTTTTTAACTTAAATTTCATGATATTATTTCCTGAAATTAGAGAGAAAATGTAATGGTTGGAGAAGATTCTTTGTTGTAATAAAACCAACTAGTAACTTGGCATGGAAGAGAAATTAAATCTTGATGGTCATTACCATGACACATTACCATCATGTGTTTGCAAGCCATACACTTCCTTAAAAAAAAAAAAAAAAAAAAAAAAAGATTTCTGATGTCTCTATGACGTATTTATTCTATACACATGCACGTGTATACAGTTAAGGGAAAAATACCCTTTTTAGGAAAAGAAGAGGGGAAATGTTTAATATACTTTCTTTCTGCACTCTATTTTAATTTCTTAATTATAGGAATACATTTTTAAAAGCTTGAAATGCACTGTTTATTGAACATGTTGTGAGACATGTTTTTCTATTAACTTACCCATGCTGGCTATTATACTGTGTACAGGCAACCTAGAAGCTCCATGATAAGATAATTTTGATTCATGTCTTTTTCTGTGTTTTTCTTGCTTCTTGAAAGCAGAATTCTCTTCTTTGGTGATATTTATATAAAAGCATATATCTGTAGAACTCATGATATACCGAGGACCTGGATTCAGCAAAATGTTTTTGTTATCTTCCTTTCTAACACCAATCAGACAGACTCCAAACCTTAATTAGAAAAGGAGAGGCATGGTTCATTTTTTATAGTTCTGTATATACTAGAATTTCCACTGTCAAAAATGAGCCTTCTGTATATTTTATACTGTACAAATAGAATGTTTCCAGAATTTTGAATGTCAAATGTTTGAAAAAATGTTATCTCCTAAGTGGACCATCAAGCAGTTTTTTTTTTAAACTGATGAATCCATAGGTATCTGATTCCAATGTGTTTCTTTATCTCCAGAGATTCTACTAAAGATGTCTCAGTTAATTTTTCTATCAGATCATTAATCCCTTCTGAGAAATTATTAATAGGGAAATGGATACTTTCTATGAAAAATGTATTCATCATGTTAAATTGTTTCATGTCCTGGAAACTACTTTAAGAATTTTTAGCCATTCACTTCTAGAAATCTATTTGATTAGTGAGCAAAAATAAGGAATTAAAACTAAAATAATCTTTTGGTCACTTATTAAGTATGAAAATAAGATCAATGTTCAAAGCTTGAGTCTGTAAGTTCCATTCACACAGCAGTACTGAATAAAAGATGCATGATCTGGGACATAAAGAAGATGTATTAACGTTCTTAAAATTGAACCTAAGTGGGGAAAAAAATATTTTGAACAATCACTGGGGTACAGCAAGAATCATCTTAAAATTGAATGCTTTGCATAAACTGAACGTGCTGGATTTCCAGCTGGCTCCTGAATCACACCAAAAACAAAAAAATGTGAAAAGGATTTGTGTTCTGGTATAATCTGTGTCTAAGGTATGATTCCTTATGGTTGTCAAGCTTATCCTATGTATCTTTTATATTCTGTTCTCTCAGATTGAGCTGCCTATAAAGAACCAATATAAGCCTTTACACGACTAACTGTAACTTAAAGAAGTTATAACTGAATGAAATATATTTCCTAACATACAACTGAATATATTGATGGTCAGATGTTTTAATCCAGAAACAGAGTAATGCCTGATATTGCACTTTTGAATGCAGAGCTACATTTGAGGCAAAATTTTAAAATCAATCTTTTATAGGAAAATAAACATACTTTTTATGTGCATGGAAAGAAGCATATGTGAAGCTTTTCCCCTCATACTCAGCAAAAAAAGTACTTTCTTCCAGGTTAATGTGAAACACTTCATTACCAGAGCATCTGCCATACATTTTCTGCCACTGTTCTGATGATTGCTGACTCTCTCTGAAACATGTACAGATAAAGAGAATAATTTAAAACTTAATGTACCATTCTCAGTAATCAGTGCATTATCACTTAGCAGTAGAAATTATAAACATCTATTGGAAAGGTCTGATGGGCTAATCTGAAAGAAGTATCTGAGATCAAAGCTTGGTAATACTGTAAATAAGACGATTATTTTTATGAAATAGAGAGCATTTTCTGCTAAGTAATAGTCAGATTATGTACTTCAATACCAGGAGAAACATGGTGGAATTAGGTTAAATTCACACCATAAGAAGTAGATTCACTGCAATTGAAAGATGACGGGTGAAACCAACAGCATGCTCATTCTATTCATAAAGACAGTCTCTTCAGATGTTCCTTCACAGATTGTCTGGTTCCTGTTTGAAGTGGTAAAGAATAATTGAAAATAACTTATGTAGGCAGGATTCATTTGATTTATGTCACTTTATCTGTAAGAAAGATTTTTCTCTGCATTTGCTCATCTGTTTGTTGTCTTCAGTATTTACCCAGAAGGTGTTTTTAGTTACCGTGCCTTGTATACTATCCTCTTTTCTAGAGCAAGAAAAGAAACAATCATTTTAAGGGTCCTTTACTAAGTGCAGCTAACCTTTTTTATCCAAATGCATTGTTAGTGGAAATGTTCCAAACCTTACTAATACCAAAACTTGCAGACCATGGGCCTCTGAGAACCTCTTACTTTACTGAAAGTTTACAAGGAAACAATTTTCCATCTACGTGGGCTTTACTAGATATAGTGGAGGTATATGTATTTTTGTCAGAACATACAAGTGACAAATACGCTCTGTATTTTGCCTTTTGGAGCTGAGATCTCTAAATACTGCACCTTGTTAAGTGTACATTTTGACTTTTTCAGTATCTTGACATAATTTGTTTTTCTTGAGTTTCTATTTTTTCTCACCCTTGGCACATTTTGTTCCACGGTTAATGAATATATGGTAAACATTTTTATTGCAACGGTATTAAAAACAGTGCATTATATATAGAATAGCAGAACTCGAAATCTAATTACAGAACAAAATTGTTCCATATTGGATTTTACTCCCTCTCCCCCCCCCAAACTGAAATGTTTACCTGTTCAGAGTCTGCTTGGTTCCAGTTAGTTGTCGAAAAGCTTCCCATGGTGCCGTTCTGTAACGATCACATGAAGTTCAGGTCAGAAATGCTACTTTCTTCCAGAACTTCGTATTGTATTATAAACTGCGTTAGAGTTCTATTAATAGATTGGAAGTGTTTAAAGGTAAATGTTAAGATTAATATTAATCAATAAGTAAATTATAAATAAGAATAAAGATAGAAATGTTCTGCCTCATAATCTGAGTTCTACAAACATCTTCTATGAGAATAAGATGAATTGCAACTAGCCTGTGCAACTGTGCATTGCAACTGTGAATATTACTAAAGCTAGATGGCATAAGCAGCAGCAATCTTCTTAATAGAAAGTTGGTCTGGTCAAAATTGCTTGGGAAATGAACATTTTCCCTAACTTGCTCACAGATTTATACTGGTAAATATGCTGTCTTTAATTTATGTGTGTTTCTTTTTCTTTACTGTTTATTGTCTTATCATTCTAATTAGGATAGTACAGAGTAATTATTTTTCCATGTTCTGCTGCTATTTATTGCTTCCAATTTGCAGTAATTTCCGCGTACTTAGTTCTTTTCTGATAATCACGAAGCTTACGTTACTAAGTGTCACACTACTTCTTAGTAAGTATAGGAAGTGTCCAACTCTACGTAAATTAGCTGGTACTTGATTTATAGGAGGACAAACAGCTGCATTATTACTTTTGAGTCAATATTTGAGTCCGTTAGGGCTTTTTCAGTGCTTAAACATTCTGTAGTTCTCTGATAAACATTGCTTAGGATGACTTTTGGAAGCATCATTCTTCCAAAAAGCTTTGCAAAGGGGACAAGTCTGGCAGCTGGGAACATTGCTGTGGCTGAAAGCTTTCAGGACCTTCCTCAGCAGTGACTACAGCTACATGTGGCTGTGAACACCAGCTCCTAGCAGATCTAAAAGATGAGAGAAGCTGTCTGCTTCAAGTGACAGAGAGGGCTGGATCAGAAAGAACTCTAGGATAGGGACCCTGATAAAGCTTAATCACTATAAGAGCTCACTATGTGCAGGAACATCTGCTTGTTTATTTGAGTAGCAGGGAGAAATGTTTTAGTTTGAAGTTCTGAATTATCAATCAAACTACTTTCTGAATGAAGTCTTATCTATGGTATCAATTTGAACAAACACTCCCAATCGCTACAGTAAAGTTCCTAAGCTTGTGAATCAACAGTTAAATTAGATCTTTGGAAACATATTCCAGTATTTCCAGGTGATTTCAGAAGTTGTAAGAAATAAAAGGAGGAGAAGAAAACACCGGTCTGGGAATTACATATTTTGTAGCAAAGATATTGCATTTGAAATACTTGATCTTTTTTAACTTCTAGCATTGTGAAGACGATTTAAATTTGCTTCCTTTTCTTTCTTTCTTTCTTTCTTTTTTCTTTTTTTTTTTTAATTTGAAGTTTATTTACCTTTAGTTTCTGTTTTTAACTTTAATGTATATATAGCTTGCTTTTAAAGAACAGTCACACATATTTAACTAATTTGTCTAGCATTAATACTCGTACTCTAGGGTATCCAAAGTTTGCCATTTGACAGTATCTTGGAATGCATTTGAAGTGAAATGCTCTGTTGAGTGCTGTCTAAAAAGATTGACATCTAAGCATCTTCACTTTTCCAGTCTTTTTGTACTCATCTAGCAATTCTATGTTTTTGTAAATAGGATTCAAAGTAATATTGGCAATTATGTGCAAAAATGTATTTTTTCCTAGTATACAATAACCAATTTTCAAAGTAATAACCAGACAAGAAATCAGTTACTTTAACAACCTTGATTACATCAATTAATTCTTAGTGGAAAAAAAATAAGTACTTTTGTATTCTGCTGTAGTTACTTGAGCCAGGAATCAATACTAAATTATCAGTATGCCTGAATTAGAAATGCTGATGTTCTCAGGCATAGTGGAAAGCGTTGCATAATGTCAGTTTTTGTGCTTATAGAAAACTCTCTGATATCTGCTAGGTATGCTATTCTTCTTTCATACAAAAATAATATGGAATAATCTTAAATGGCTCTGTATTCTGTTCATGTGCATGTCATGAAATGAGAACTAGGCAGATAGAGAATGTACGTCACCATGATTTTCAGGAGGCATGGAAACAATATTTTATTGCATTCTGATTAACTCAGATGTGACTTCGGACAGGGGCACTGAAGCCTTGATATCTGTTGTTGCTGGTAACAAAAATTCTAGCTATATTTCACCATTCCCTATCTTTGGCACAGGAGAATACTGTAAGTGCCATACGGAAGGTTAAATAACTCTGCTTATGAATATCAAGATATTACTGGACATGTAGTTATTTGAGAAAAACATGCATTTCTACTGCTGTCAAATGCACAGTCTGCATGCGTGTTCTCCACTTCTACAGATACACTCAGATTTACTTGTTAATGCTTCTCTCTGCCCATGGCATTTTCTTTAGAATACCTTGGTGTTCCAAGTCAATAGCATAATAGGAATAATAGATGTGGTAGAATTCTTTTAATAAATACGGAGAAGTTCTAAGGTGATTATGCAGTCTGTAGAGACACCGTAATTCACTATGCCTTTCCGAACACGTATGTGGTGGTTATGTTAAAAACCATCTCTTTGTATGTATATTTGCTTGCTCCTTGATGTCCATGCACTGAATCAAACATAATATTTGGTACGTTAGCAAAAAAAAAAAAAAAAAGTCAATGAACACTTTCTGTTGTGGATCTGACAACACTATGCAAGAAATTAAGTATTTCGAGTATGAGAAGGAAATCTTTTTTTAAATTATCATACCTTAACTAAAATATCTTGATGTCATTAAAGAGCTGAAAACACCGATTTGTTTTTAAAACTGAAGCAGTTGCCCAAGGTAAGCAGTGTTATACAGAATCTCAGCTGCAACTTCTGCAAGGCGTGCCTTTGCTTGTTAATGGTAATGTGTACTTACTGTCCCCTGGAGGTATGAACCAGCAGTGTGATTAATGTAGAGGTAGCTGGACATATACAGTTTAGAGCTAGCATAGCATATTTGAATTCTTCTTCACACACAACATGATCTGTGGAAAAAAAAAACAATATGGAACATTTTATAAAAATACTTTTCATTAAACAGAATTATAAATTCCTATATTTGCATAAGAAAATAGTGAAGTTAACAGGGAGAAATTGCCTCCAGATCTTCAGCATTCACTTTGACTTGGAGAGTAGCTATGTACAATTTACCCCATCTGTGCTACCTTTCAGATTGCATGACTGAAGTTAATTTTTCATTCAGATCCTATTTCATGTGCAGCTGCAGGACAGAGAGAGGATGCAACAGCCCTGTAAATCTAAATTCCACTATCCTGCTTCACTGGTAGTTATGAGTAGGCCTAAGTAACATAATTCAGTTTACAGATTTGCACCTTTTGCAGTTAATGTGATCTGGTACAGACATATCAAGCACAGTACAGAGATGTAAGTTCTGTACCATGCAATTTCTGTTTTCAGAAAATAGTACACACAGAGTACTGCAATGTAGGAGTATCTCCTCGATTAGATATGAAGTGCTGGTTTACAGACTGGTTGTTTGGCAGCTCTGGGATATTTGCACTGCACTAGCTTTTATTTTGTAGATTTGACTAATATTTGCCCCTGAAAACAGCCAATGGCTGCTGCTTCTGACAGGGGAAATTCATTTTTGATCTTTCTAAAGATCAAGGCCTATTTAAATGTCATAGGGAAAGACTGAGTTTTGTGAAGACACTGTCAAATGTAGAACAAACTGAGGTTTTTCTTCCCCTAAATACATTTCAATTATAGCAATTGTTTGCTGCACAAGGGATCTCAGACAGAAATGTGCTTTTCTAGTTGACCATGTGCCACTAATACATCTATTTGAATTTTAACCTAAAGATTTTGAGATGATAAGGCATAGTCTACAACTTGGATGGAATATCTACGTTCCGTTACCTTTACAAAGATGGCAAAGATCTATGAAAATGAATACTAACTTCCCCATATTGAAGGAATAGGAAATTCATTTTTGAATTTGTGTAGGATTTTGTCAAGAAGTTCCCCTTATTTCTTCTTTAGAAAGATGTTGTAATATAGCTAATAATTTTGAAAACAGATCAAAGAAAATTATACAGAGAAATTATTTCATCATCTGCTATTTCATATCTTGTACTTGAACAAAAATGTACATGCTGACCTAATTATATACAGATGAAAAGGAGTAAATAATGGATGGCACAATGCATGTGAAAAGTATATATCTCACTTAAATCTTTCATATACTCTATCATCTTTAATGTACAGCAATACTTTCTGGATGGTTTTTATGAATAATATTGCACAAACAGAGGATTGCACCTAGTAAAGAAAGAGGTGTCTGCTCTAGTCACCTTAATCTCATGCATGTAAGGAATTTGCACTGTGTTGTCAAATGTCTTTACATAGGTCACCATGTCCATGGAACTCATAGGACAAATTCCACTTCTCTTGTAGTCTTTGACCTTGTGTGAGCCACTCATGTATTTGTGTATCTGTAAAATGTATGAAAATAATTCCTACTTCAGAAGTGTTTTGAAGCTTTGAAATTCTTAGAGGTAACATGAGAGCACTGAACAAAAGCTTCTTCAGCACTCTTATTACCATGATTAGAAATATTGTTCTTATTCATTGATAAAAACATAATCTCCAGACTATATAATATAGCAGTCCTTCTTGATTCCTATTCAGCATTTTAGGAAGAAAAGGGAATGCTATGTAGAATACTTACTTATAAACAGTAAATCAGCTTTTAAGCTCAGTAAGTCCCAAGGCAGGAATTTGACTTAATTCTGAATTTAACTTCTAAGGTTCATCTGCCTTTTTTATCTGACTTGCATGCATGCCTCAAAAATAGGTTTTAAAAAATCCAACGGTTATGGAAAAGAATTGCATATTTTGACTCTTCACTGTATTAGGGACAAGTTTTGTTCTTGGTTGGACCAATACAAGGTAATTGGAACTAATCTTGTCTTATTCCAGAAATGTGTATATCATTATTGTTAGAATGTTCCTGAATTTAAGAGATGCTTATTCATGTTTTCAATTCACAGAAAAATGCAGCTTGTACTAACTTCTTCTATCTTCACTATAAGTCTTGACGTACAAGACAGAAATAGCACATTTTTCAAATTGTAACTCCCAGTAATGCTGCTTCTTTCTGTACACCTATTGATTTGTGCTGGCTTTTTTTTTTTTTTTAATGGTGCTTATCATGTGAGTTGTTTGATTCTCTCTCCTTCCCCTCTAAGTTACATTTTCACATTAATAAAATGAATCTTTCATACTATATATGTCCTTTTCTTTCTTTTCTGTATTAATTTGAAACTTAAGTAGTGGTACTGTGGATTTCTCCTGTTTGGCTGCAGCTAAATTCTTGTATTATATGGAGATTAGGTCAAGATGAACTTTTTTCTCTAATTATTTGAGAGATCACAGCTTGCCTATAATGTCATTGTGCTTTACATTTATGTTCAATACTCTTATTGTGGACATGTGGTGGGAGTTACGCATAATATTTAATGCTTTCTCTTCTAAACTGAGTAGGGAGGAAGCTGGGTGATGGTCCAGTAGTCTGGGAAACTGGTCAAATCCTGGCACTTGTGTTACTAATATCACCATATCAGTCATTCCATATGGCAGAGGAATAAACTGCAGTTCATATTGAATTGAATATTAAGGATGTCAAACCGATTTACCAAAATAGAAGAATTGCATTTATACAACAGAAATATGCCATTTAAATTTTTCAAAAGTTGTAGTTTCTGTGAAAATACTTTTTGGTAGAAAACATGTTAAGTCTGTCACAAATAGCAGTAATAATGCCACAAAGTGAGTTATGGCTTCTGTAATGTTATTGAAGGTTAAGTATATGCAAAATACTGATTTATGTCTATTGCATCAGCCACGTGGTAAGAATGTGTCAGGTCTATCTGACATAACTACTCTGAGAAATCTAGCTTTTCTTAATTTGATAAGTTAACCTTTTTTTTTGCTAACATACCAGATAGAGAAAAATGTCCATCCATTACCTCCAGAATATTTTTTTTATCCATGGTTGGATACATTAATCATCAGATGCATTCAATATCCATTTCCGCGAATCCGGACTATGTTCCTTTCTCATAATCCACAGAAGATTTAAAATCAGACTTCACCAATTTGAGCTAATTCATTAGTATATTTTGAGTAAATTAAGAATCACAAAATATGTTCCTGTTCCTGGAACTGTGATTATATAAGTTTTCTGAACATTCAAGGTAAAGATGTTTATTTTCTAGCAAGCATATGAAATTTATTAGTAAAACTCAGAAAATATGCAATTTATTCTGGTCTCTGAATTGAATAAATTTACTGTTCTACTGTAAATAACTTTCACTTTATTTTATGTTTGTGCTAAAATGCAATGCCAGATGCATATATTAAGGGTACACAGCCTTTTGTAGTCCTGTGTTTAGAGGAAAAGCTGAAGGACTAATAAAACCATTGGCAACTGCAAGTGAAGTAAAATGCAGTATTACTGAAAGAAAGATGAGGCATATGAAGGTATATGTATACTGGAAAGCACAGAATTATAAAAATGCTTGTGTTGGAAGGGATGTTAAAGTTCTAACCCCCCTGCCGTGGGCTGGTTGCCACCCACCAGACCAGGCTGCCTAGTGCCCCATCCAACTTGGCCTTGAACACCCCCAGGAATGGGGCACATACTTTTCTGAGCAACCTGTTCCAATGTCTCACCACCCTCTGAGTAAAGAATTACCTCCTCATCTTTAATTTAAATATCCTCTCATTTAGTTTCAAGCCATTCCCCCTTGTCCTATAACTATCTGCCCGTGTAAAAATTCTGCCTCCGTTTTGTTTATAAGCACTCTTAAAGTACTGGAAGGCTGCAGTGAGGTCTCTCCAGAGCCTTCTCTTCTGCAAACTAAACAAACCCAACTCAACCTCAACCTTTCTTCATAGCACAGGTGCTTTTCAGGTCCCATTGAAGCATTATATCCAGTCACACAGAAAGATTTCCACTTCATTCATCCACTTCACATGTTTTGCCATTTTAAATAGAGATAGTTAAACAACACTGCAAAAAATAACGGAGAAAATAGAAGATGCAAGGGTCTGTCTCTGACATGGAGTGAAAATATGATGAGGAGCTACAAGATATGGTTTAGTTTGTGGTAGCAATGGTAATGAGAAGATGGTTGGACTAGATGATCTTACAGGTCATTTCCAACCTTGTGATTCTATGATTCTATGATAATTCCTTTTCTGACAGGACATATTATTCAGTGCACAGTATCTCTATTCCCTCACTGTGATGATGAGAATAAGTTCTTGTACTCTCACTAAAGAGGAAAAAAAAGACAAAATATTGCCTACTACATAGAAATTAACAATGACTTGTCGTTTATACTGTTTCTAAAGCTTAAGACAGAACAGCAGACTTCCTTCGGGAGAATTAACTTAAGGTCTAAATTTCAGTACTATCTTGTGGCTAAAGTATGATGCTGAGAAGCTAGGTTCATAGTGTTTTAGAAGTTTTCAATTTAGTTAAAAGTAAAACATTTGTCAGGAGAACTTTTCTGAAGTCTGTGGGTTTTTTTCTTAAGTTCAGTAACTGTTTTTGAGAACTGTTGTCTCTAAACTTCCATGTAAAAACACACAATAAAAAATGGAAAAGTAACAGAAGAAGAAATTAAATTATTATTTCAGGTTCATAAAGATGCACAATATTGGTTTGGGAAACCTCTAGAAGAAAGGACTCATTTTTAAAGAATATCAAATTCAAAGGAAGCCTTTTGCATTAAGGCAGTAATAAAACAGTTCTAAATCATACTAGGAAAAGCACTTAAAAAATTGTTGCATATAGTTACAACAAATTTTATTTGTAAAGACTCTGGACGGAGTATAGTTTGTAGCCTCCACTGGATATATATATATCAGATCAAAGCAGAATTGAACAAGATTAGTAATTGCAGTGAAGTCATCCTAGGAAAAAATCTGAAGGCAAACATCATTCTAATGATTGTAAGTATTAGTGGGAAATATTTGTGATAGGTCATCACACATAGTATCTAGTAATGGTGTTTATACTGTGCTGGTAACCTGGCCAAATTTAAAACTGCATTAAAAATTTCCTGTATAAGCAGTAAGATTAATTAAATCTTGTAGAAATGCTTGTAATTCTCTGCTATAAAATGTTGCATGGTGAAACTGTAAGACATAAGTAATACCATTTGCAACAAGCATGTGTGGAAATGGATGCAGTGATCCATTCAAAATAATTTTGAGAAGTAAGGTGCTCTATAAATATTTGGCCCTGCAATTCAGTAATTTGACAATTAATATTAGAGGAGGCTAATATGGTAGAGAATATATAAGGTTTTCTCAAGACCTTCAAGTAGTAAGGAATATAAATGAAGACAGTGAGATAGAAGATCGATTAAGCTCAAAGGAAGGAAATATTAAAATGTTTTGTTTTGGGGTTGTTTCTGATTTGCTCATTTTGCTTTGTTCTTTATTTTAATATATGATCCGAATTATTCATCTGAGACTCAGGACACACGAGGGGGAAAAAACTCTCTGTTTTGCAAATCCAGTTTTATGTAGGTCACTCTGAAAGTAATGCTTCCTGTTTATTTCTGTAGAAATGACAGCAGGTACAAAGAACACAACAAATCTATTTGATAGAGCAAATTCTCAGCTACAAAACACTTTTTCAGCCTTTAACTGTATATTTCCGACAGCAGTGAACAAGCGCCTGCATGCTGCGCCCATGAAAACACACACTAGAGAAGATGACCCACTGTTACTGCTCCCATTAGTGAAATGCTCCACCTGCTTCCTCTCTGTGCTCTTTGGTCTCCGGAAATGTTCAGCAAATGTCAGTGAATGCCACTGGGTGCTCTTTTTTTTTTTTTTTTTTTTTTTGTATGGAGGACTTCAGCGATACACCTTTGCTTCATAAGCACATCTGTCACATGACAACAAAACATTATGCAATATTGACAGGAAGGTTCAACCTCTACTGCCATACCACCAACATCAACCTCTGACATTGTGGCCAGCATCACAGAATAGGAAGCATTACTTTCAGAGCAGTATATAAGCCCCTACAGAGACATTCAGGCATTCAGAATAATGAAACTCTCTTAAAAATACAACTAGTAGCAACAAATTAACAGTTACTAATAAAGAGAAGTGGCAAGGGGTAGAGAGAGTGGAGGGAAGAGATTGTTGTGCTATGTGGTTCTAAGGGGGAGATGAAAAAGCATCATCATCCTGTCACAGCATGAGTTTTGTTCCCTGCTGTGCTATCTCATAGTTTAAGGTTATACTTTTTTCCCCTCTTTCCAACCTTGTAGCAAATGCTGTAGCTTTTAAAATTTGAGCCTTAGCTGTTTCTCTGGATTCGTTATGTACTGAAATTTACTTCTTCATCACGTTCTTGGGATGATGAAGGAGACTAATATTTGTCCATTTCGTTTTTTTGAGTTTTGTATGAATCAACAATCCTTTCTTGCTTAGAATATCCTTCAAGAAAACTGAATTTTCAAAATTACAGTTGAAAAGGAAAGCTTTTCCCCTGCTTCATGGTGCTACTTTTCCAGAGAGAAGTAAAATGAATTGTTATTGTAAAGAGTATTCATATATTTTGCACATAAGTATACGTGTGTGCATGGATATATATGTGTATGACAGAGAGACATAGAGATCCACCTACACAATGCTGAGAAAGTTTCTGAATTTAGAGCTAGTAATCCATTCTTATGAGAGAGGATTTATCTGGATTTCTTAATATTATTTTGCATTTTTTATTTTCCAAGCTATGAATTTCACTGGATACAGAACTAAATTATATTTCTCTTTCCAAAATATTTGAAAGGAAAAAAAATCTTTTCATATGAGCTAGAGAAAAGCATCCCATTGTAAAGATTTTTTTTTCCAATTGTTTCTCGAATGAATTTTGACCTTTTCTAAGTAGGTTTTTTCATATATCCCTTGGAAACAGTATGCTATAGAAGTCAGAAATGATTTAAAGGCATGGATAAAACCTACCTGGATTTATAATTGAGGAGTAAAATGTATGATTTATCATGTAACACTGTGCTATATAAAATGAGTATCCTTCAAATGCTTATTTGTAAGAGCCTAATACAGAAATGGTATTTTACTATTGAGAGGATATATTAACCCATAGTACTTGAAAATGTTATGCTTTTAATGAGCTTCTAACTAGTAAATACACTTAGGGAATCTCCCTTTGATTGTCATTCATGAAACAAGCTGCCAAATACAAATAAGTGGTTCAAATGGCTGAAATCTCACACTTACCTGCAAACTTGATATGGAATTTATTCTCAGGTTTCAGTATTTGGACATACAAAGGGCAGTTCGGGGCAAAGTCTTTAACAGCCCATGCTCTTAAAATGGTTTGATGATCCTAAAATAAAAAGTAAGAAATTATAACAATAAAACATATGTAATCACAATGATACAGTAGAAAAATAATGATTTACAAATCTGTATTGCAGGAAATTCACTTTGAAACTATACAACACCATCTGGTATGGATATTTATGTACCCCTTACATATAATATGTAACGTTACTTATATATGACGTATATGTGAATACACACACATACATTTCATCAGCTACTGATCATAGGATTCCAAAAGATTTTCCAGCCTGTTAGTTTTTCCTGCCTGTTACTGTCAAGAGTGAGTTAATGATAGGAATAATACTCCTATTCCATGAAAGTGTGCAGTAATATATCCACTAACTCATATAATGAATGTAATGAGGCATGGCTAATTTCAATGTATTAGTGATCAATTTTTATTTATTTCAGAACTAGAAAGGAGTAATTAAGAGCTGCACTTAGGAAACAATGTTTGAGTTGAAATGTCTTGCCTAGTCATGAAATTGGTGCTATGAATAGATAATATGTAAAGAATGATTCATTGTGTTTGCAGCATTTGCGATAAGAAAGGCTTCCAGACTCATGAACTCAAGGGAAAATCTTTGCCTTTTACTTAATTGACATTTTCAAACCATGATGTTTTAATGTCACTTGAGATGGTAGCGAGTAGTTTTTGCACTAGAAATACTGGAATGAAATCATAACAGGAAGACCTTTTGAAGATGGTAAAATGCATTAGTCCATGTGTTTTGAATTAACTTTTTATGAAAGATGTAGGATTACTGCATTGATTCAGGAAATTACAGAACTTAGCTGTATCATGCTCTAAACTTTGCTTGTATAAAGTCACATTTTCTTCTCTTTTTCTGTCATATATGATTTCTTATGAGGGGGAGTGGTTGCGTTGATTTTGTTTTTGGAGGTCCTTCTTTGCATTTGGATTTTTTTTTTTCCCTGTTTAGTTTCAGGAGACCGAAATGCCAGCATACTTCAGCAGTAGCAAATGGCTAGGTAATGGGACAGAAGGAGGTCACAGAGATACACTACAGAAGCCAGTTGTTTTGAGGTGGATTTGGGACAGGTTTGAATGTCTGTAATATTGCAGGTATGTTATCTGTTACTTTATACAAAAGGTGCCAAGAAAATATAGTCATCTGCAGTGATAATATAATTTCATTGCAGAGTTTGAGGTTACAAGATTCCTCACTGCACTTCTGATAGTAGTCATGCAAAAAACACATTGGTCTGTAAAATGGTGAGAAAGAGCTATTTCCTGGTACACTACATGAATAGTAATGTAGCTTAGATTTAATAAAATTTAGGTGACTGTTTTTATTCTTAAGGATTATACAAGGAGCTAAAATTAGACTTACTGTGATAAACCAAAGCTGCACCACCAAACACATTCAATTGTATTCTTCAAGCCCTGTTTACTCGTCCTCTGTTGTTCTCATTGTTATTCATATATCCTCTTTGAAATTTTTTTAGAAATATTTTCTCTATAAAGCATTACTATTTTTTGGAAGGTGAAAGAATTTCTAAAGTTGAGAATGAATAAAGCTCACTACAGTTGTTAAAATGCAAATGTCGTTAGAAAGAAAAAAATTACTGAACCTAGACCTATAGAAGTAGGTGTTGATTAATTTCAAACTAAAATATTTTTAGATAATTATAAAAGAATGGGAAAGATACTTAAAAACTCTCGATCATTTGGCATATTCACAGTTTCAAAACTTCTAAATATATATTGTTCTGCATTTGCTATTTTTTTGAAGCAATTTACAAACGTGTAACATATATAAAGTAGGTACTTAAAAACTTTATCAGTTTCATGAGATCGTCTTGGTGTGCATGTACTATCAATATTTCCCTTTTTTTTTCCGTTGTCATAAGCATATGTTTGTGTACAAAAGCTGGTTATTTAGGATTCTCACAAAATTAGAATTTTTCCCCGGTTACTCTCAATTTCTTCTCTGGAGAAGCACTCCGGGGATAGAAATGAAAATACAAGTAGGAATTTTACGTGCTTAGATTCAATCTATTTGTATAGTATTTGTGGCTCTCCCTTTTACACTTCTAGTAACTTATATACTACTTTGTGGTGACGAAAAATTTTGACATTTTTAACACATAAAAAGGCATTAAGTATGTATGTATTATAACTAGAAACAGCTAATGCAAAAGTATGCTTCTATCCTTGTTACACACTATATGTTTCTTTGGGAGGTGAAGGAAAAAATATATTCCCTTCCATGTGTGTTTGCAGGTCACACCTGCAGTCAGTGATCAAAAATCACCAGACACACTCATGGTGGTAAATATAGAGGTGATATTTCAGTTACTGTAGCAAAAAACTACAAATTTTAAAGTAAGTGTAGCAGGAAGTTACATTATCAGAACTCAAAACAAGACTTTAAATAAATTTTCCTATTTTAATGTGTTTGACACTTGAAAATCACTGTGACTTGGATTAACGGTATAATTATGTCATGCAATTTGATTAAAGGAAGGAAAAAAGTGTAAGCTTGAACTCAGCCATCTATGAATTTTCAGAAAGGGTCAGAAGAAAGGTTTTGGCAGTAGAAGTCATCTTTCATATATTTCTAGCCCCTACTAAGAAGTTATCTATAGGATAGTTCAAAGGATAGTTCCCATCACTCACTGCGTTCGACCAGTAGATGCAGTGTTTCAGGAAACTGTTTTGTGGACCAAATTAATACAGGCAGCCCACTAACTTTACTGACCAATTTCATGGTCTGGCAAGGACTACGTCTCTAAACCTATCAATTAAAAATAAATAAATAAATAAATAATAAACAACAAATTGTCATCTATACATAAGTGCAATTTGAATTCACTTTAGGAGTTGCATAGTTGCATCCTACTGTGTGAAACAGATGCCTTTCCTGTGTTATATAGCAGAAGAGCAGCTTACTTCTTGGTCTGAGGTGTCAAAAGTGCATTTGATATTGTAAAACTTGGCAAAGCTTTGTCTTGCCAGAGAAGAGAGAATTTCTGGTAGGAGATTTTGGAAAGCTAAAAAATTCTTGGTCTGACTACTCAAGTCCCTACTTCTCCAAGTAAAAAAGGAAGTAATATTTATGAAGTAACTGTCTGACATCTGTTACTACATTTCTGAACTATCGTTGATACCCATGGTCAGAAGCAACACAAATTTAGGCAACAGAATTTAACTAACAAAATAGCAAGTAACAAGCATCTATCAAAACTGCTGGTTGCAACTATGACAGATGAGTAGATCCTCTGCTGAGTACTAGAGATGGAGAGAGAAAAATCCTCTCTGCCTTTGAAAAATCACTTCTAACAACAGCTGTTCTGGTAAGAGATGTCCTCAATGCATCTGTTAATTTTTGACAGCTGTCACATGTAGGACAGGATCCAATGCATTTCTCAAGCTCAGCAGGATTAAAAAATTGGTTGTAGACTGTTGTAGACTAACACTGACCTGGGCAAAGATGGAAACTGTCAGCTCAGTGACAAACTGTAGCCTTGTGTATTGTTCAAGTCCTTAGTAGTGCCTAGAGCTGGAACAGTATAGGAAATTCTATTTCCTTTCAGAGGTTTAGGAGGCAGTAAAGGAAAACAAACAAACAAACAAAAAAATAGGAACAAACTTGCCCCATATTCCCTGTGCAAAGGAAATCTAAACAACAAAAACAGAGATGGAGGTGAAATCTTATTGAGAAACTTCAAATTATACTGATCCCAGGAGTCTCGCTGTTACAGCTCAGATGCCTGACTTACTTCATTCTCCTTTGGAAGCACAGACTGGAAGACTTATTTGAATTTTAATGCTCTGGGATTTCTAGGCTCCCAAGTTTTTGATAGACTTGGGAGTTGAGACATGAGCTAGCAGGATCCAAGGCTGATAAATGGAAGCTCAAAATCCTGTTGCTCACAGCTCCAGGGACCTCTAATGGCAGGCTTTGTTATAGGACTTTAAGCACTTAAGGGTCTGAGATCTCTAGCAAATCCCTGAAGGCTTTCTTCAGACAGTTTTGAAACTGATAGTTTTCCTATAAACAATTTTTATGAATTGACAAGATTCCAGCAAACGTTTCCTGACTGGAAAAGTTTTAATTCATTCAAATAGTAGCATTTACTGAAGTTTTACTAAAGTTAATTCCATTATGCAAAATTTGTATCTTTAATCAGCTAACTTTAATCTTGTGCTCTTAGAAGAAGTCTGAGAGGGTACAAGGGAAACAAACATCAGTATAAACATTCATTCTCGGTCATTTCTTCAGAACTTACAGCTGCTGTTCTGTCCACCTCACAGCGGCTACTTAGAATGAAACAAGCTTCAGCATCATCCATTCTAGAAAAATGAGGGAGAAAACCTTGTTACACACAAAAAAACCCTACGACCTTTTGTTGATTCATGTTTCACATTTTATGGTCTTATGTGATTGCAGATACAGAATACAGAGAAAGAAGTCTATCTGCTTTCATGCATTATATGAATGTCAACAACACTCCTCTGTATACTCGCTCACAGTATGCCAGTACTTCTTGGCTAGGTTCTAGGAAATTTTCTTCCCTTTGTTCCTATAGAAGCTGTGCCAAAGTAAAAAAAGCAAGGTGGCCTCAAGCACAATTACCTTGCAAATTAAGTTTTTATCAGCCACGAATATAAAAAGGTGAATTAATAGCTTGAATTCTAGCTTGAAGGTACAGTATAGGTGAAGTCACAAGGGAATTTGAATACTAATCTGTTGTATGTGTAAGAGAATAGTTTTATAGGCTTGTCAGCTTTCCTCTCATTAAGGACTCAGGGTTGTAGGTAAGTGAGAATAAAAGGTCATTCCTTGATGAGAAAGAAGGGTAAGCCAGAGAAGGACTGCAATAAGAGGTGAAGTGATGGACTGTGTAAATAATATTTCCAAAATGTTCAGAAAGAATTGAGGTGATATATATTAAAAACCTAAGCATTGTTTTAGCGAAGTAAAAATAAGAGCTTGTGTAAGAAAGACTGGCAACGTTTGAGTTCAGTCTACATAGGGTGCTCTACAAGATGATCTCAAACATATGATCTACAATATTTTACTGGTTTTATTTGAGCAGCAAAAATTAAGATCCATTTTTAATAACCTGCAACTAAAGTTGACGAATAGTTATCCGTATTAAGAAGCCAGATAAACTGAGTAATAACCTTTTAGAACCTTTTAGTTTATGACTATAGAAATAGTGAATTTGTGTGTTTTGTGTGTGATCCCTCAGAGAAAATATAAATGAAAAAGAAGGATAAGGTAATTATATGTTGTCCCCTAGACAGCAAACAGTAGGAAAAAAAGGAGAAGCCTCAGATTGAAGCACTTGAAATGCAAAAAAAAAAAAAAAAAAAAAAAAAAAAAAAAAAAAAAAAAAAAAAGTGACAAAATCAACTGTGTATTTCTAAAATAGTAATGTCAAGTGCAGCTTACACAGAGAAGTGAGAATGGGCAATTCTAAGCAGTGATTAAGAAAAAATCATGGGATCTATATGAGTAGCTTCAGATAAGCATGAGAGCAGCAGTGGTAAGGTCTTTATAAAAAAAAATCAACCAAAAAATGTAGGAAAGAAAATTCAGTGAAATTAGTGATGGAACAGCATTTGATGAGAGATGATAACTAGGATCAACAGTATATACAGATGATTTTGTGGGAAATGAAACCTCATTGATCATATTCACCTTTTCCTCCGGTGCTTTTTAGAAGCTTCTTGAATCACATCAGCCACAGTTGGCAAGGATAATTCCCTTGATACTAACATTCAATAGATACCATGAATTTAGACAACAGAAACACTGCTATATTAGAACCCAGAATATCCTTATAAAAGGATAATTCTATCAATTTTCTAATAACAAGAAAAGCTTTGTCAATTTTTATATGCCATTAAATCTGAAAAATAAAATTGTTCTATTGCTTAAGAATGGCAGAATTTGAAGCGACTTGATACACTGAAATATTGAAATAAATTAGTGAAAATAATAATAAGAAAGAAGCATAAAGTAAAGGAAGAGTGGATAAGAAGAGAATTAAGATGTGTGCTGGGTTCACTGAAGTGGAAAAGTTTAAGAAGAGAAAAACTATTTTTTAACAGCATGGGAGACAGCTGTAGAGCAAGGAAATATAAAGTTACTTTCTAGTAATAGTCTGCATGAAGAACAAGGGTTGTTTTTATCAGTTACTGTGTAGATATCTAATTGTACTGATGCCCAGTAGAAGTAGTAGTGTTGTTAAACCACAACAGATTGTTTTTAATTGTTTTCCCAAAGAACAACCAAAAATTGCAAAGTGAAACTTTCAAAGGTAGAAAGCAAGAATGAGTATCATTTGTGTAGTCAGATGGTGTAGTAGGACATAGGAAAATAAAGTTCTCAGTTAACTATTTACTAAATATGCAGTACATCAATTTTTGGTATTCCCTTCCTTCCTTTTGTAGTGTGACCTTTATCATGATATTTTGGCATTGCAATTCATGTATAAGTATAAATTTTGATAAATAGAAAGATACTTCTTGTTTTTTTTTTTTATTGTGTGTGTGTGGGGGGGGGGGGGGTTAAACATTATTTTGTTTTGGGAGGGACTTTTTATAAGGGCAGGTAGCAACAGAATGAGGGAAAATGGCGTTAATCTGGAAGAAGGTAGATTTAGAATAGATATTGGGAAGAAATTCTGTACTGTGAGGGTTGTCCAGAGAGGTTGTGGAGGCATTCAAGGCCAGGCTGGATGGGGCTGTGAGCAATATAGTCTGGTGGGACGCATCCCTGCCTATAGCAGGGGGTTGGGACTAGATGATCTTCAAGGTCCTTTCTAACCCAAACCATTCTATGATTTTATTTATTAGAAACTGTTTACCATGCGTCTTGCTATCTTCTCAGTACACTATATTCTCATTAAAAGGAATATAGCAAACATCTCAGGTACTGGTTTATAGATCAAATTAAACATCCTATTAAGTTCCCACTGTGCTTTTTCCCTCAGGAGAGGTGGAAAATTATTCTGTGACAGGTACATTCAATTACATGTTCTGCAGGAAACAGGTATTTCATTGAGTGCCTCCAGGTTATTATAAGTGAAATTCATTATTATCTGTAGGGAACAGTCTAATTTTTCTTAATGTGTAGAACAAACGTTAGCCAAATTCCCCTATGAATTCCTCCTTGAAAATGAGCAACAAAGTGGGAAAAAAAAGGAACCGCTTTTTGAAAGAAGTTCATAATCCTGAACAAAGATTTTCTGCATTTTAAAGTAAGGTAGCTATGTAAAGGCAGCTATTTTTTTCAGTAGCAGAAATTTGAAGATAGCACTGCTTGCTAGACTTCTCCCAGATTCTTCAGAATAATTCTTTAGAAGTCTGAATGACACAAGTACTGATGTATTGGCTTGATTTTACATATCTGTATTAGTTGATTAATTTAAGTGAAGACAGGTAAGTTCTTATAAAAAGCAGTGCAGATAGATTAAAACAGTTATTTGAAAAGAATCACCTTCCTCTTTGGAGTCTGAAGAGACAATCCTCCTACACAAATTCCACTGTGAATTCTTTCCCACCTTTAAGTGATTGAGCAATGGTGGTTGGTTTTGGTAGTCTTTGTGGGGTTTTTTTGGTATTTTTTTTTTTGAGAAACTGTGTTTGACTGATATGTTTTGATTACTGTCATTCAATATTAACTGGAAAAGAGGGTTTTTTTTAGAAGTGGTAGAAAATGTGTGCTAAGAGCAAGATCCTGAGGGAAGAGTAGATAGAGGTAAATTAGAGTTGTTGCTTATGTTACCAGGCGGAACTTATTAAGAAAACAAGACTGTACAAAGTATTCAAAGGGTGATAATTACTTTTGTTCACTTTTTCTCCCCTTCAGTTGGCTTACTATCTGTGCACAAGAACAAAACTTCTAGCATTATTGGCAGTTTTAGAATTTTCAACACAGCTTTTTTTAGTGAAATTATAGGCTCTCTGTTTCAACACCTTAAAAAAAAAAATAAAGAAAAAAGGAACAAAAATAGTGATAAAAAGAGTGGTCAAATGAAGAACTTACAAATATGTTCCTTGAAAATTTTCAGACTTAAGGAAAAAACAAATATAATTAAGATCCCTGTTTTCTAAATAAACATACTTTCCTTCTAGCTTTTGTTGTTTGTCAAACTTCTTAATCAAAGAGTATATGTGAAACAAGGTAGTAAATAAGTGTTAGCTATATTTGCCTACTTTGCTCTCAACAGGTCTTGATCTTTTAGTGCTGAGCCTTGGAGATAGATAACTCTTTGAGACCACATCGGGATTTGTAACACTCTCCGGACCTGAGCATCCATTTCAGTAGGACACAAAATAACAACATAATAGTCCTGCCAAAAACATAATGAGGAATAATCATGTTAGTATTTGATGATACCATATTTGTTGCCAGGAGATGAATCAACAGACCAAGGATATATTAAACCTCTGTGATAGTTCTCAAATTTCATTGACAAAAGTAACTTAAATACAAATGTTTAAAATATGGAGTTATTCCTAAATGAAAATAGAAGAGTACTCATAAAAGACTTTAAGGTGACCACTAGAATTCTATTACATTTTTGTTTCTATGAAAGCATAAATTTTTTAGACACAGTTCACTTTTCTGTCATTACAGCTGGAACATGTAGGAAACTTTCCACAATTAAAACAATTGTTTTCACCATCTCTATTACTCCTTGAAATCTTTTCCTCTGCATTAATGGGCAGATCCAAATTTTGCTTCCTGTACAGACAGTCTCTATTAGAAATAAGGTTACCCTGACATGTATATGCTTGTGTGTGTGAGAAGGAGAGACAAGTGGAATGTAAGGGGAGAGACTGAGACGTTAGGACAGTCTCGATATGAAGTCTTCCTTATCACACACAGTCCTCTGCTGGAAGCTTACTTCCAGCATCATCTGTATCCTCCAGCTTCCCACTTCAGTTGTGAAGGGAATGTATATAATTTCCTTCATGCTACATAAGTAGTATTAGGACTTCTCTTACTTTGTCTGTATCAGAAAGACTGACCAATTATTAATATGTGAAATACTGGATTTCCCTGTACATTTGTTTGGACTTCTTACTACCTGATTAATTTGGAGAATATTTTGCATTTGGTATTTGTCATGCTGTTGCTCAGCCATTTTGTGGGTTTTTGCATTACATAATTAAGTGTGGTGCCATAGGTAATGGTAAAAGACAGGCAGAGATGATTTTCTAAAATAAATGGTTTATAGAAAAGCTAATGATGATGAATCAAAATTGCTACCTCATATAAATAATCTTTTATATGATTGGAGCAAGTTATGTAATGTCTGTATTAACTACTGAATGTGTACAATGAGAAAAACTTTGTTTGCAACCTTAAAAGGTCTTTGCTTCTATTTTTTCCTTCTCCAAAAGTATCTTATCTTCCAAAAAAAAAAAAAAGGAAAGAAAAATGCTAAAACCAAAATATGCTTTGACTTGTCGAGGAGCTTTGGATTCCCTCTGAAAAACAGGAAAAAAAATTCAACAGTTTCCATTTCTTTTCTACTCTGAAAGGAAAAATAAAGAGTAAAAGGACGCTGCATGGGAATAGCTGTTTCTAAAAGGACTAGCATAATTCAACAAGACAATAATTCAGTCCCTTTTACCTCAATTCAAAACAAATGTCTCCATACTCAATTTCTCAACAACTCAACTTCTGATTGCAATTCTAGATTCTCAGTTTAGCCAACTATTTTTATATTCAGCTTTACAATCTAAAAACCATTCCAGAACACTCCAAAAATCAGTGTTACGAGATTCTTTTCTTTTTTCTTTCACTTCAAATACCTGCAGCCTAGGGTGAGCATAGAATTCATTTAAGAAATCCATAAGTAAATCAATCTTCAGAGAGCTGACACACAGCACAACATGTTTTTCCGTCTGAGCTCTGTGTCGACTGTAGTTGCCACCGGACTTCTGTCTCTCCATCCACAAATAAGCCAGCTGTTCAAACTGTAATAGATATGTGTCAGTTAAATATAGTCAAGCAGCTGTGCAGTAAAAGTGTATCACTTAAATACGTTGCATTGTTCAGGTCATGCCTTTATTGAATGATGCTGTTAGCACCCAATGTACTTTTCTTTGTAAAAAGTTCTCGGTATATGGGTTAGATTGATAGAAGGATTACAGAAAAATGTGGAAGTATGGCCAGTCTCTATTGCAAATAGCTGAATAACTTCATTAAAATATCATGTGACACCCAGCCCTAAAATTTCAGAAAAAAGTGAAGACTATGTTGTTTGCTATCTTGGTCATATATTTCACATCTCTGAGCTGTTTTTCCAGGTTAATATGAGTATAAATAATTAGAAACACCATTTTACTTTGGGCAATGACTGTCTTCAGAAATTTTATAGTGCTCTGAAGGTGACCATATCTGTGTATTACCATCCAATTTATATACTTACTAATATGACTTATACATATAGATACCACTTAAATACATGGCAGCTGTCAATTTTGCATTTTTGCATTTGCCATCTGAATGATGTATGCAGTCTAACAGTAAAATCTGTTTTGTACTGTAATGAAAGGGAAACCTAGTGTGTAAGTTAGGAAGTATGAAAGAATTATTACGAATATAAATTTTGTTCCACTAATCAGAATCTTTTAAACTAAAGACAATATTGTAATAATCCGTGCCTTAATATAATTCATAAATACCATCTCAAAGTGTTCTGTAATATGCATTTAATCCTGAGCTCAATTTAACCATATGTCTATTGTGGTAACAGCTTTTTCTCGCAAATTTTATTGTGAATAATAATTCATTTAATACAGTAGAAAGACAAAGCTCAAGAATTTATAGTAAATGGGATTAGATCAGGCTAATCCCTGGTGAGGAGCTCTGCTCCCTGATGACAGGGACAGTGCCTGAGGGAACAGCATGGAGCAGTGTCAGAAGGAGGGTCAGGTGGGGGTTAGGGGAAGGTTCTGCCCAGAGGATGGCAGGCATGGAACAGGCTGCCCAGGGCACTGGTCATAGCCCCAAGGTCCTGGAGCTCACGGAGCATTTGAACAGCACTCTCAGACATAGGGCTGGATGTTATGTGGTCCTGTCTGTAGCCAGGTGTTGGACTTAGTGATCCCTTTGAGTCTTTCCAACTCAGGATATTCTATGGTTCTGTGATTCCAGATAATGTCTCCCTCATTCTGCGTGTAGAAAACTAAAAAGCCTCTTCATCACTACAAAAATGTAGAAATAAAATAGTGAATAATACTTAGATTGATGTGAAAGGGCAGTAGATTCCAGATTATTTACAGGTAATGCATAGATTTGGTGTTTAAGTGTATATTAGAAATACTTGAAAGTTGAAATTTGTATTTCTGTGGAAACTCTAAATTTCTTAAACCATATTTTAGTTTCAAGCAGAACATGCATTTTATTAAACTGCCACTGAATGGGAATATAATTATATTAGTGCATATGTTTGCATATGCAGGCATTAAATATTTGGCTATAATTTAAATGTTCAGGCAATTTAAAAGAAATTACTGCTGACAGCTTGAGCTTCAAGCTTCACAGGGTTTCTGTATTTTCTGCTCAGAGTTGAGGCTTAGTTCACGATCAAAGAAGTAGAGTGCGGAAATCAAAGCTGTATGAGAAACTTGGGAGCTTCAAGGCCTAGCATCTGGGTCTGCTGTGAGATTCAGTAAGCATGCATGATGTCTCCCCACACTTCCTTTTTGCGGCCACGAGTTCTGGATCATCACCAAGAACAAGACATTTAACGCTATGGCACGGCTGCCCTGTAGTCAGAGTGTCAGTCATCAAGCCTTTGCTAATGAGCTGACAAATGTCTAGTACAAATTTATGGAAACTGATTGATTACATGAAATACTTAGATTTTCATAAATCAACCTAAGCTCATATAGGCACCAAAAATTCCTAAATGTGCACTTGGATCAGTGTGTGCCAACACACACAGATGTGAAGACAATTTGCTTGAGTTGCAGATTTAATGAGTTCTTTTTTTAAGTTTGCACTGAACTGTAAGAACATGAGAGGAAGTGGAGAGAATCAAGATTAGAAACAGGGAAAGCCTGCAGAGGAAATGCTATATTCATAAAGTGCAGGGTACTGTTTTTTTTATTGTGGTTGGTCCGTTTTTTGTGTTTGTTTTGTTCTTTTCTGCATTTTTAAAATTACCTAGGATGAAGAGAAGGGCTCTGTGATACGTGACAGAAACAGAAATCTTTCACCAGCAATTGAAAACTGGCTTCAGTGCTAAATATTTTATTATAAATCTATACTGTATTTTATTATACACTTAAACTAAACAAAGATAAACAGGAAAATTTTAGGAAAAGAATAGAGGGTACAGAAGATGGTTATTATTTCTGATATTTTATATGCATTGCAAAAGGATATTTTGGGGGGTTACTGTTTTTTTAAAAAAACAATTCTATAGAGAAAATGGAAAAAAAATAAAATCCATGTTTACCTGTATGGGCAACACCACAAGAGCAACACAGATCATAATGACAACAAGCAGCTTTGAAGGCCATATCTTAGGTGTAACATCCCCAAAGCCCACAGTGGAAAATGTCACTATGCAGAAATAAAGGGAGTCAAAGAGAGTCAACTTGTTTCCTGCTCGTTCCAGATGTTGAATTCCACAAATACTATGTAGAAAAGAATGAATAAAGACACGAAAAATAAAAACTGCACTTAGGTTCAGTTCAAGTTTGATGATTACATTATATATGCAAAGAATTACTTCTTTTAGAATGGATACATTGCTTAGAAAAGACATTTCTTTCAAAAAGAGGAAAAATGAGTATCAAACTAGAAGTGTTATTAATATAACTTTTACATCATGTCTAATAATCTCATTTTTTTCAATATTTCAGTGTGGTTGAGAACTTTGCTACTAGATTTTTCTCAGTGGTGAGGGAGAAGTGTTATAAGGAACATCATGGACTGATGCAATTCCTTTCTAAACCAGAACAAGACAGATGGTATATAGTTGCCACCATTCAAAATTTTTTTTTTTTAATTTATCTTAACTTTTCAGGGAGACTTTACTGTTATGGTGAAGAAAATATATATAATACTTTCTTTATATCTGTTGCTCTCTATATTGGTCTATATTGCTTTGTATGGCAAGAGCTATTAGCATGAACACTAGTTCATTAAATAACGTTAGTACCAATGGTTACTAACTGTCTGGAATAAACTAAATGTGAGAAGCAAAGGCTACCCAACTGTCAGAGGAATAAGTGCCCAGCGTCACAGTCAGCCTTCAGGTAGAAGGTGTCAATTGGTATGAAGTTTCTGTTTGCTAAGCATATAGCATAGAAATATAAGGCTTGGTTGTTTCTCCGGCTGAACAGATTATGTTGGTTCCTCCCAGCTACACATTTCTGGGAACAAGTAAATGGTAGTATGAGCTGCTTGGTATTTATTTCACTTGTAATCAGTATGGTGTGGGTAAATTAGTGCTGTTTAGGTTGTGAGAAGCAGCAGCAGAATCTATACAAAGGTCTTATTGCTGTTTCTTATGTTTCATGCTTTAAAAATATTTCACTTTGGAAAAATATACAGTGATAATGAGCTTAAAATATGATCTTCTGTAAGACAGCAGAATCGTTAAGACTAAATCCAATCCATCTTTAAAACTATATTCACCCATATGAAGAAAATTGATGTGTGAACCAGTCTGAATAGCGTATTTTTTTCCCCTTGGAGCTAGCTGAATTATTTATCCTCAGACAATTAGAAATCTAATTGGTAAATAATACCATATTCCTTGGTAATTATTCTAGAACATATCTAAGATAATGTCTTCATATATCCTATCCAGATGGTAAGAGTCACTCATTAATATCTGCCATGGTAAAAATTTTGCATCACCAGGGAGACCCTGTGTTTATAACAGCTTTTTGGTTGTTCTTCTGTTCTCTGTTCTGTTCTCCAAAAATAATTCAGTAGTGGGCAGTGGCATTTCCAGAACATATGGATCAAATTCCCAGTTTCCTTTTCACAGTTCTTGCATTTGTAGTTTTCACACTTCTTAAAATGTTCTAAAAAGGGTGCGGTTTTTTTTTTTCTGTTTGCATAAGTTTCATCCTTCAGTCAGAACTGATAATTTTATGTTCCTTTCCAAGTTGTTACACGTTTTTCACTGGAGTAGTAATCTAGGTCTTCCATAATTTTCCTATGTTCACAGTTATCTCTTTCCCTGTAAGTATTAATGGAGGAACTGTCCAGAAATATGCTAATGATGAACACTTTCTTTTGGTCTCAGGCATGGAAGTTTCTCATCTATCTCCTATTTGTGTTAATTTGAAATGATAGAGTAAGCTGTGGAAGAAGTATGAAAAAATAAGCTATTTTAGTGCAGTTATTCATGTAAGTTATATGTAATTGTAATAACAGAGCTATGAAGGATTTCAAATCTCTTGATGTTATTAATCCTAATCTCTCTGGTATGTTTTCTACTCTTTGCCTGTGGGTACATCTCTAAAACTTAAACTCCACTTCAAGAATTAAGGTTACAACAACCAGGAAAGCAGCAGTTACACAGAGACAGGGATATGGCCATAATATGCTAAGTGTGTTTATCATCTGCAAATATTCGTATTGAAGCATAATCCAAACATTTGTAGAATGTATTTTTTCCTGATGTTGGTGTATGTGAAATAGCTCAGTGCTTCCATAAGCAGAAGGGTCGGTTCTAACTTCTGTATCTGAGAGAATGGGTTAGAATTGTGTTATCCCAGGGTTTTGTGGGTTTGTTTAGGGTTTTTTGCTTTGTTCTGTTTTGTTTAACATATTCAAGGAATTAGGCTTGTTTCTTCACTCTTTATTGTTTTCATGAACTTTGAGTAAAATCTTTACCAACTTACTTGCAGGAAAACTCCCTGCTTGATGGAGATCATTAATATTATTCTTCATGTGCTCTCTTTAGAACCCACCAAACCATACTTTAACTTAACTGAAAATACATTCTGAATATACCATGAACCCTTCCAGCCTTTTTTAAGGGAATAACAAAATGTGAACTGAATTGAATTGAATGAGCCCAAAATTATTTTATGAGCTGTACTCCTGTATATTCCTATATATGTACATTCTTTAAAGCCATCAAAATCATGTTGTGCCTGAGTCAGAATGTTATGGATCCAAACTGCCTTTTGTTGAACTCAGTGGGCGTAAGCTAGAGCATCTCAAATTCAGTTACCAGTATTATAGTCAATTGGACATAGGAGCTCTTTATCCTTCTCTGAAGCAGAAATTGATTTATTCTTCGAACTTCTTGAAGAACTGATTTACTTGTTTGAAATTACTTGCACCTCATCTGCAGTTTTATCGGCTTGTAACTGAGTCCCTAACCCTGAAAGCAAATAAAGCCAAAAATAGTTTACCAAGTCTTAATTTCAGTACTTGTTTTGCCGTTCTGCCTTTTGTTTTTACTAGAGTAAGGGATAACAAAATTGCAGAAAAACTGATTTTGAGAGACAGCTTTATGAGAATTCCGAATGAAATAATACTCCTCCCCCAACAATACTGTATCTTAATCTCAAGTATAATTTGTTAAGTATAATTTGTACTTCTAGTGAAGTATAAACTGTGAGATTACACTTTAATCCCTTCAGTACATCCAAATAAACATTAGCCTGTTTCTATAGCATGTTCCTACCTGATTATGCTGCATAGAGTGCCATAGAAATTTACTGGTTCTACAGTAAGGCATGTCCACATGAATTATTTATTTAATTCCCCACAACTTGCTGACATCTTTTATTGAAATCTAATTATTTATATTAATAATAGTAACCGCATTGTCTTATTTTTCTTTCAAATTGTTAAATGCTAAGCATTATTTTTAAAAGATGCATCATTACTACATGTACCAAGAGCCAGCACGTGTTCTTGTTCCGCTTTCTCCTATTTCCCAACACAATGACCTCAAACTTCATCTTTTTTGGTATTTTACAGTGGCATTTCTATCTCCTTCTTCTTGTTTACTTCTCCTTCTCTTTCATACTATGAAGGAACAGTATGCTTGGTTTTCCTTGAACAAACATCATTCAAGAAAGCAGCATTCAGCAAAAGCAATGCTTATACTAACTTGTCTTTGTGGAGAAAATAAACTGCTATAATAATAAATACATAGAAAATGCCATAAATTAATAAAAATAAAGGGCCAAAATTCCCCTCCTTCTATACCAATTTTAGGTTTCTGTAATTCTGACGTGTTGTCTTTTCATTGTGGATTTAAGATAGCAATTATATCTGTCATGGTTTTATATTTTTTGGTTTGCAGTATTCCGCATCAAAACATCATGTACTGGAATTAAAGTGTTAATGCTCCAATTCCAGGTACCTGTCCCTATCCATTCCGGAAGTCATGGGATCTGACCCTTCTGGGTGGGGCGGTCTCTTACTGCCTGCCAGTGGGTGCTGGAGGTGCTTTC